TGGACGCCCATAAGAAGCCATTGATGTGTTGCCTTGGGGTGCCTGTTGGCTGCAGGGTGAAGCATGCCAAGGGAATGTTTAAGCGATGGCATTTAGGGCTGGCAAACGGCAGGCTTGGACGCCCATAAGAACCCAGGATGTGTGGCCTTGGGGTGCCTGTTGGCTGCAGGATGAAACATGCCAAGGGAATGTTTAAGCGATGTCGCCTTGGGGCAGTGCTATTGCCTGCACGGTTCGGCGTTCCGAGCAGCTTTTGCACAGTTTGCAGGGTTTTAAGGGTTTTAAGGGTAAGCGTTTAAGGCCTGGCAAACGGCAGGCTTGGACCCCCAAGGCTTGGACGCCCATAAGAAGCCATTGATGTGATGTGTGGCCTTGGGAGCCTGTTGGCTGCATTAAGGCCTGGCAAACGTTTTAAGGGTTTTGAGGTTTGTAAGGGTTTTAGGGGTTTAAGGGCTGGCAAACGGCAGGCTTGGACGCCCATAAGAAGCCATTGATGTGATGTGTGGCCTTGGGGTGCCTGTTGGCTGCATTAAGGCCTGGCAAACGGCAGGCTTGGACCCCCATGACGGGTTGTAAAGGTTTTAAGGGTTTTGAGGGTTTTTAAGGGTTTTAAGGGTTTTAGGGGTTTAAGGGCTGGCAAACGGCAGGCTTGGACGCCCATAAGAAGGCATTGATGTGTGGCCTTGGGGTGCCTGTTGGAAACGTTTTAAGGGTTTTGAGGGTTTTTAGGGGTTTTAGGGAGGGGTGGCAAACGGCAGGCTTAGACGCCCAGAAGAAGCCATTGATGTGTGGCCTTGGGGTGCCTGTTGGCTCGGGGTGGAGCATGCCAAGGGAACGTTTAAGCGATGGCATTGAGGGCTGGCAAACGCGTTGAAGGCCTGGCAAACGGCAGGCTTGGACCCCGAGTACGGGTTGTAAAGGTTTTAAGGGTCTAAGGGTTTTGCGGGTTTTTAAGGGTTTGAAAGGTTTTAGGGGTTTAAGGGCTGGCAAACGGCAGGCTTGGACCCCCAAGGCTTGGACGCCCATAAGAAGCCATTGATGTGATGTGTGGCCTTGGGAGCCTGTTGGCTGCATTAAGGCCTGGCAAACGTTTTAAGGGTTTTGAGGGTTTGTAAGGGTTTTAGGGGTTTAAGGGCTGGCAAATGGCAGGCTTGGACGCCCATAAGAAGCCATTGATGTGATGTGTGGCCTTGGGAGCCTGTTGGCTGCATTAAGGCCTGGCAAACGTTTTAAGGGTTTTGAGTGTTTTTAAGGGTTTTAGGGGTTTAAGGGCTGGCAAACGGCAGGCTTGGACGCCCAGAAGAAGCCATTGATGTAATGTGTGGCCATGGGGTGCCTGTTGGGCAAACGGCAGGCTTGGACGCCCATAAGAAGCCATTGATGTGATGTGTGGCCTTGGGGTGCCTGTTGGCTGCATTAAGGCCTGGCAAACGGCAGGCTTGGACCCCCATGACGGGTTGTAAAGGTTTTAAGGGTTTTGAGGGTTTTTAAGGGTTTTAAGGGTTTTAGGGGTTTAACGGCTGGCAAACGGCAGGCTTGGACGCCCATAAGAAGCCATTGATGTGTGGCCTTGGGGTGCCTGTTGGAAACGTTTTAAGGGGTTTGAGGGTTTTTAGGGGTTTTAGGGGTTTAAGGGCTGGCAAACGGCAGGCTTGGACGCCCATAAGAAGCCATTGATGTGTGGCCTTGGGGTGCCTGTTGGCTCGGGGTGGAGCATGCCAAGGGAATGTTTAAGCGATGGCATTTAGGGCTGGCAAACGCGTTGAAGGCCTGGCAAACGGCAGGCTTGGACCCCGAGGACGGGTTGAAAAGGTTTTAAGGGTGTAAGGGTTTTGCGGGTTTTTAAGGGTTTGAAGGGTTTTAGGGGTTTAAGGGCTGGCAAACGGCAGGCTTGGACGCCCATAAGAAGCCATTGATGTGTGGCCTTGGGGTGCCTGTTGGAAACGTTTTAAGGGTTTTGAGGGTTTTTAGGGGTTTTAGGGGTTTAAGCGCTGGCAAACGGCAGGCTTGGACGCCCATAAGAAGCCATTGATGTGTGGCCTTGGGGTGCCTGTTGGAAACGTTTTAAGGGTTTTGAGGGTTTTAGGGGTTTAAGGGCTGGCAAACGGCAGGCTTGGACGCCCAGAAGAAGCCATTGATGTGTGGCCTTGGGGTGCCTGTTGGCTCGGGGTGGAGCATGCCAAGGGAATGTTTCAGCGATGGCATTTAGGGCTGGCAAACGCGTTGAAGGCCTGGCAAACGGCAGGCTTGGACCCCGAGTACGGGTTGTAAAGGTTTTAAGGGTTTAAGGGCTTTTGCGGGTTTTTAAGGGTTTAAAGGGTTTTAGGAGTTTAAGGGCTGGCAAACGGCAGGCTTGGACGCCCATAAGAAGCCATTGATGTGTGGCCTTGTGGTGCCTGTTGGAAACGTTTTAATAAGGGTTTTTAGGGGTTTTAGGGGTTTAAGGGCTGGCAAACGGCAGGCTTGGACGCCCATAAGAAGCCATTGATGTGTGGCCTTGGGGTGCCTGTTGGAAACGTTTTAAGGGTTTTGAGGGTTTTTAGGGGTTTAAGGGCTGGCAAACGGCAGGCTTGGACGCCCATAAGAAGCCATTGATGTGTGGCCTTGGGGTGCCTGTTGGCTCGGGGTGGAGCATGCCAAGGGAATGTTTAAGCGATGGCATTTAGGGCTGGCAAACGCGTTGAAGGCCTGGCAAACGGCAGGCTTGGACCCCGAGGACGGGTTGTAAAGGTTTTATGGGTTTAAGGGTTTTGCGGGTTTTTAAGGGTTTGAAGGGTTTTAGGGGTTTAAGGGCTGGCAAACGGCAGGCTTGGACGCCCATAAAAAGCCATGGATGTGTGGCCTTGGGGTGCCTGTTGGAAACGTTTTAAGGGTTTTGAGGGTTTTTAGGGGTTTAAGGGCTGGCAAACGGCAGGCTTGGACGCCCATAAGAAGCCATTGATGTGTGGCCTTGGGGTGCCTGTTGGCTCGGGGTGGAGCATGCTAAGGGAATGTTTAAGCGATGGCATTTAGGGCTGGCAAACCCGCGGGGGGCCTGGTTGATGTGGCCTTGGGATGCCTGTTGCTAAGAAAGACAAGTTCCACACCTGCGGTGGTCCCAGGCGCCGCCCCTGCCTTGGCTAAGGCCCGGGTCGGCGGACAATCCACTGAATCCACTATAGGAATTGTTGGAGCCAATCTCAACCAAACAGTAGAGGGAGATGACTTGGGGGTTTTATTAATCCTAGCTCAACATTAGAGAATATTGCGATCGGTGAATTGTCTAACAACTACCTGACATGACACCGCACACTTTCTGGTCATCTTTTTCATCTCACTGAAAGCGGTGTGATGCTCACTTCGGTTGGTGTCACCCCGAGACCGTGCGCAGCGAAGGGAGATGACAGAAGTTTTAGTTGAGGCAATGCTGTTTATATACATGTTTATTAATACCCCATGTGTCACCAAAACAAACAATTTGCAGGGAATATTTTGCAAGTTCTACATGGACTCACCACCACAGTAGGAAAGAGTTGGACGCAGGAGGCGGGAGGAGGAGCGGACGGGAGTGCACAACCAAAACAAGAACCCCACACAAAGATGTGGGGAACAGCATTCTGCAGTGATTTTGGGCGCTGTTTTTGTTTGGCGTGGCATAAGTCTAATCTTGGTAGGATGACAGTGCTTTTGGCTTGTATTGCAAAGCAACACATGAAAAGCCATCGATGATTCCGTGAGGTGGCTCCGGTCACCCCTTCTGAGCTGCTGGTTCAGCCGTGGACCCCGGACGGTGAGCCACCAGAGACAGAGGATGAGGAGGGGACGTAGGAAATCATGACCTGCCACAAGTTGGATGAGAAGTGGAACCCGCCTTGACACATTCTGCAGTGATTTTGGGCGCTGCTGTTTTTGTTTGGCGCGGCATAAGTCTAATCTTGGTAGGATGACGGTGCTTTTAGCGTGTATTGTAAAGCAACACATGAAAAGCCATCGAAGATTCCGTGAGGTGGCTCCGGTCACCCCTTCTGAGCTGCTGGTTCAGCCGTGGACTCCGGACGGCGAGCCACCAGTGACAGAGGATGAGGAGGGGACGTAGGAAATCATGACCTGCCACAAGTTGGATGAGAAGTGGAACCCGCCCAGACACATTCTGCAGTGATTTTGGGCGCTGCTGTTTTTGTTTGGTGCGGCATAAGTCTAATCTTGGTAGGATGACAGTGTTTTTAGCGTGTATTGTACAGCAACACATGAAAAGCCATCGATGATTCCGTGAGGTGGCTCCGGTCACCCCTTCTGAGCTGCTGGTTCAGCCGAGGACCCCGGACGGCGAGCCACCAGTGACAGAGGATGAGGAGGGGACGTAGGAAATCATGACCTGCCACAAGTTGGATGAGAAGTGGAACCCGCCTTGACACATTCTGCAGTGATTTTGGGCGTTGTTTTTGTTTGGTGCGGCATAAGTCTAATCTTGGTAGGATGACGGTGCTTTTCGTTACAGACAACACATGAAAAGCCAGCGATGATGATTCCATGAGGTGGCTCCGATCACCCTTTCATGTTTGTGCCAGACGGTGTTGCTACATCTCGAAGTTTTAGCACCGACACATTTTCTCTTATTCCTGGCTGGTCTCGGAGGAGGTGGCAAAGCCGGCCAAGCGCAGCATCGGCTTGGGCCCCTTCGCGCGGCGGGTCCGCCAACGGAGGGCGCTCAAGTGGGAGGCAGAGGGTGTGTTTTTATACTTTAGACTACTACCCAGGGGCCTTGGTGGATCATGACCGTAAACCCTCAAATAAAACTGGTCTAACATGGAATTCCTACATCTTATTTAAAAACAACAAAAAGATCTATAAAAGGGCGCTAACAGCAAAGTCTAGAATGGGGTTCTCTCGTGCGGTTTTTGGTTATGTCATTTGATATAACGTATATGAGGTCTTGTATGCATGTGTGGAATTAAAAAATGTTCAAAGCTAAAACTTAATGCTAAACTATCACAACGCATCACAACTGATGCAACACGCAGGAGAGTGTAGCTGAAGTGGTCCTCCTTCCGTCGTTCTTCGACGGCCTCTGCGAAGGGCCGGACGGCGGCCCGTTTCAGCACACGCAAGCGCCCTTCGTCCTGGACGACTTCCGCGCACTCTGGGCGGAACTCTTCCCAGCGGTGCTGGCAAAGCTTCTCAGGAAGCAGGAGGCCCCATGCCTTCCAAAGCACCTTGCTCGCAGGTGGGCTCCCTTCAGCGCCCTGTCTGTGGACCTGCAGCGGCTTGGCTAAAATACCAGTTCTCCCAACAAGAGACCCCAAACAGTGTATAGTGAGGTGTCTAAGGGGGATACACTCCACACTTTACACTCTATGCTTTACACTCCGCACTCCACACTCTACAATTTACACTCTACGCTCCCTACTCTACACTTTCAACTCTACATTCCACACTCCACACTCCACACGTCACGCTCCACACTTTACACTCTACACTCCACACTTCACACTTGACACTTTACACTCCACACTCTACACTCTTCACTTCACACCACGCACTCCCCAGGTTACACTCCACACACCACACTTTACACTGTACACTCCACACTTTGCACCCCAAACTCCACACTGTACACTCCACACTTTACACTCCACACCCGCACTTTACGCTCCACGCTTTACACTTTATACTCCCCGCTCCACATTTTGCACTCCTCACTTTACATTTTACACTCCTCACCCCGCACTTCACGCTCTACACTTTACACTCCACGCTTTACACTCCACGCTCCACACTCCACAGTCTACACTTTACATTCCACACTCTGCACTCCATACTCTACACTCCACACTTTACACTCCACACTTTGCAGCGTACTTCAGAGATTGTTGGATTACAAAATGAATGGCAGTCCCAATCCAAGCTTTGCCTGCATTGCTTGTGTCAACAGCAAATACCAGTACAAAAATATTCTCCAAAACAGCAGTTGTGCGCCACACGACACCTGTGAGGTTCAAGATTGTTTGGGTCTGGGCTACAATCTACATCATCGGCTTAAAAGAAGTGCCAAGTGCCACAGGTTTCCAGATGAAGCCCGCATTTTGCTGGAACCACGACTATCATTTCTTCAGTGAAACTCAATGGTCCAAGTGGTGGTTTGGGCCAAGGGCTCGCCTCTGAATCACCCAGCTTTTAATGGCAGATGCCAGAAGTTTTCACATTTTTGTGCAGGTGATACTGGTGATACCCAACTGATTCGTAGATATTCATAGTACATATCTGACATATCCCCAGCGACAGGAGCGCTTGGTGTTCCATGCGGATAACTTCGTGGTGGCTGACAGGGTGTCCCTGGCCGACAATCGGAATTCGATGGTGGATGCTGTAGATTAGATGTATAAAAAAACATCATGATTGCTACATGATACACTTCCAGTTGCACCAGAATGGTGGTTTTATGTGGTTTTCACCAGGTGGTTTAGCTGACATGTTTCTTGAGTTTATCATACACTTCGAGATCAAGGAGTTCTGAATGGGCTTTTCCGTCAATTTTTGCAGACCCTCACCACATGTCTTCGGTCCCAAATCTAAGGTTTGGATGTATCCTGCGACAGGCTGCGGGACGAATGGGGCCCTGAAAGACCATCCCAAGGGCTGCAGAATCTGGGGTCCAAATGGTCATGGGAAGTGCAGTTGGGGCCATGATTAGGACGGTTTCATCGTGTGCCCACTTATGAAGAGGGACTGCTCCCCAGGTTTTTCCTTTAGCCCGCTGTCAGTCTGAGGTTTAAACTGCCATCCAGTGGAAATCATTCAACCGAATTGTATCAAACTGTAAGGTCTCTCCAGCTGTGCCGTAATTTTCGGGCCAACCACTGAAGTGGACCTCAGAAGTGGACCTTTTTGTCCTTGTTGGCTCCAGGACGGAAAGAATCCCAACCTGACTCTTCACTTCCGTGAACATCAGGGCGCCGGCTACGTGCGCATGAAGGACCTGTGGCTGGGGGCTTCAACTGGGTCTCCAGTTGAGGATGATGCAACAGGAGCCATGAAAAAATGGAGGGGTTGAAAACGGCCATGTTGACCCAGGAGATAAGAGGACACTTGTACCTGCAGAAGGGAGAGGTGCCATGGCTGCCATGGTCGACTTAGTTGGATATTGGATTTTTCCCATTGGAGGTCGGTCATCAATCCAGGAATTTTTATACCCCGCATATAAGGATTCCCATGAGATGGATGACCAGCCATATTTTGAGCATGGCACATATGGATGGATAAGCACATTTGCCTGCACTGCAACTTTATGTATCAGACAGACACAGAAAGTGTTTAGGTAGCCATCATCATCTTGTATCACACGCATGTGGATGCATGCATAGTCATCATAATCTTACTTTGGGGTACAGTAGATATACTACAATATGGCATCATCGTCAAGAGTAGAACTACACAAATCATAAAAACACCAAAACTAATGATTATCATTTTTTCAGAAGGATAAACTATAGACTTTAGCAGCTTTAGCACCATGATTAAAGCTGGAAGTTGCTCCATTTTCTACCTCAGCTCCCCGCGTAGGCACGGCATTTCTGGAGCCATGGCATCCCAGCCGGAGGAGAAGGTGCTGTCGGTCACCCTGTCACCTTGGAGCATCAGAAATGGGCGATGTTATTCTACCCAGAAAAGGGCCATAAAAAATGGGGAAATATCATGAAGATGTCATTGGAAAATTTCAATACCCAGAGTGATGGAATCTGAGACCAAGAGTGATGGAATCTGGAACCATCATGAAGCATCATGAAGCATCTATTTTTTGACTAGGAGTGATTTCGATGATTTTCGAAATACATATTTTTTGTGCTAGTTCCAACCCATTTTTGTTTCCATCTACTGAGATCAAGATGTTTGATTCTTGCTGATGTTTTTCTCTTCCTCTTGCTTGCTCTATATAATACGGGTTGGTGGTTTGGAACATTTTTTTATTTTTCCATATATTGGGAATAATCATCCCAACTGACTAATATTTTTCAGAGGGGTTGAAACCACCAACCAGAATAGAATGGGGAATCTGCCTGATGTTTTTCATTTTGTCCAGCCCACTTGAGCAAATCCAATTAACACTGCCAATGGGTATAGAACCGACAAGCAGCCAAAGATATGAGGTACCACATGTAACAAGCAAATATGAGGCACACTACTGTACCAGTAATGCCGATTCCAAAACAACATTCTGAGACAACAATGCCAAACACCTTTGATGACAACCATTTGTTGTTTGGACTTTCCAACAGGATAAGGATGTAGCTATATGTAGCTATGCAGATGGTTTCAACAATTTCTTGATGTCTGGCCTTGTTTGGCTCTCTCAGCAGAAATCCTGGTAGGTCATCCACACTGATGCTGGCCGCAAGGGTGTGATCTCGATGTATGATTTGGAGCCATACATAAGATTAAGCAAATGCCCAATGTCAACATATTCAACCTGAACATATCTCCAAGATCACCTGAATTCCGAAACTCGAACATCAAGAAACAACAAGATTCACTTTCCAACATCCATCGCAGCCGCAGGCGTGCGACAGCTGGGGCCCTATATTCTAGATTGTTGATTTTTCTGCCGCGGGTGCTGGGTGTGTGGTGCTACATCGTTCAAGGTTGGGACCCAGTGTCTGGTGGTTTCAAACTGATGAGCTTCTCCACTCAGCTGTTTCGTCAGAGACCTGCATGATTGGCATATGGCTTTGTCCAAAACTGGGCTACACAGGCGATACCAAGAAAACATGCCACATTTTTATGGGAACACATGGTTTCTGATCCTTTGCAATCGGGATCAATCGTCCATTTTTTCTGGTCGTGAATCTTGACAATCCATCATTAGCAACTGTATGTGATGTTCACAGGGGTGCTAGGGCTTTGATCAATAGCCATGGTTCTCCGATCCACTGATCCCACTGATCCCATCTTTCTTGGCTAAACGGCTAACATCCCCATTTTTTGCTTCCTAAAATATCTTAAAATCACCATTGTCATTGGCAAAACCCCATCTGTGCTTCCTAAAATCACCATTTTTAGGGGTTTCAACCGCTTTTTGTTCCCAGCGAAGTTCAGGGCACTGCAGCTATCAGGTCCCTCACCTGGCGCTGGCTGCGACCAAGCTTCATCAGGTGAACGTTCCAAGGGGTTTTATGGGGGGTTTAACCTGAAAAACTGGTTGAAGAAGCAACAGAAATGGGGTTTGGAACCAACCAACTGGAGATTTAAAAGGATTTACCATAGAGCCAACATTCAGAAAGAGACTTGACGACTAAACCATCAGTCAGACGCCGCATTAGAGGCTTATAACTTATAACATCGTATAACCAAGCAAGCAATTGAAGATTGTTGAAGTTGGGCAGATTCCCCCCAAACAACAAGAGAACTGTTTTTCAAGCCCGCTTGGACTAAGCCGTTTCCCCGCTAAAACAAATGATTTCAATGGTTTTCACAGGTATGCTTTTCCAATTAGACACGTGCAGGAGAAATCACAACATCCAGTGTTTGTCTGTGATTATCAATTATTTCCATCCCCGAATAGTAGGATCCCAATTGACTACATTTCAAGGCCGTTTGCAGAGTATCTTCTTTTGCATGTGCATATCGTTCATGGACCCGAAACTAGTCAAAGCAGGGTGAAATTTGCTGACCATCACTTGATTTCCACCATCTGGGCGCAGCTTGCGGCATGCAGACCACTTTTCTACCGGTTGGTTGATTCAGAGAGAGAGGTAGTGACCACCCCCACAGAACAATCAAGACGTATGGTATGGCAAACCAGTCCCTATTTTTCTCGTGTTTTTATCTATTGTCAGTGGTTTTCACTATGGTTGAAGTACCAGCCGCAGCCCCAGGGTAGTGAAATCCGATGGTCGACTTTTGGTTGCCAGATGGTGTCAGATGGAAAACGAACTTCATCGCAAACAGCAGGTGGGACAGGGTGGGCCCATTAAGGTGCCTATTGAGTTTGGGAAGCTTGGGACATGGAGGACATACCATTGCCACTGCCGTAACCTGGTTGTGACGGGCAAACTCCGCCGGAGTCAAACCTTTAATCAACTGAGGCGACCCAACAGTGGGAAGAGTTGGGGCTGTAATTTTCCCATTTTCCCTACTTCGAGCTGTGGACCTAGGAATCGTGTCAGTCATAACAAAGGGAAAGAACCCAGTTACATGAAAAAACAAGGGGATCTTCCCCAGTCAACCTGGGTTATGCTCACCCTTTACTGATGCAGGGGCGCATGCCCAAGTAAGGGGCGCACCCCAGGGTTTTGCATCCCACTGTATTATATATTATGTTACGTTATGTGTGTATATTTATAATTTTATATTGAGGGCTATCCATCTATCCATCGATCTAGCTATTTGATATTAATTATTTGATCCTCTTTGTCTATCTATTTGTCTATCTATAGAATTCTATCTATAGAATTCTGCGGAATTCTGCGGAATTCTATAGATCTGTAGTATCTATAGGATAGATCCCGTTTTTGTATGTGTTTGCCCCACTTTTCACAGGGTGTCGGACACTGCCTTCCTGACCTCGCTCCAGGCCAAGTGGCTCTTGCGCTTCACCTCTGCGGGTGAATTCCTGGGGATTGACCACGAGGTACCGTTGTCATGTCGTGGTTTTACAAGCTATAAGGGGATATGAGGTTTTAATAAGCGGATGATGGGGGATTTAAGTGTTTTTCATAGATAACTGTTTAACTGAAACAAAAACATGAAACTATGGGATAAAAGTATATAAAAAAAGTTATACATGGATATCACTGCAAGACGCACCTGTTGGTTGATGATTTTAACAATAATATAGGGAATTATACTAACCAACATGTTCTGAGGAATATAGTATACGCCAACCAATATAGGTTCCAAAAGTGTTTAACCCCTGTTGGTTGATGATTAGTTCGGGGAACCTACGTAACGACATTTAAATAGAGGGCGGGCCACACCGCGAGGCCCCCGAGGTAGTATGAAATACCAGTTTGATCCAGTTCGTATATTTAAATGTAGTTACGGAATGTTTCAATGGATTGGATTCCGTATGTTTAAATGGCCCGGCCAAGGAAAACCTTCCCGGAGGTAGTCCACAATACCTGTTCGTATATTTAAAAGTCCATATATTTAAATGTAGTTACCGTATGTTACCCAGAGAGAACTTCTTAGATATTTGACTCTGCAGAAACCATGGTTCCGTCTTCTGATAGAACGCACAGATTTCTGGTGTTTTCTGTTCTCTAAGAAAAACAATGATCGTGCTCCTACATGTTTTGGGTAAGATGTTGTAAGCTATGGGTGCTACATGGTGCTACGCCACAGATCATATGCACGTGCATGTGCTGAAACCACTTTATGATGCTGGTGAATAAATCTCCGATTCATGGTGTTGTTCCATAGATCAGATCACTGGGCTATCACTGTAACCAGTCTTCCTCACCACTGCTGATTAGTTCCCCATCCCAGCGGTGGAGAGTTGTAGGTGCTGGAGCAATTTCTCACGCGGTGGCTACCGGTCTGTGGCAACCTTAGCCGCAGAGGTTTAGCCAGAAATTGGATCCAGGGCATCTTTTTTTTTTAATCCATGCAGCCAGGCAGTCTGTTTCTGGAAGTTGAGAAGTGTATATACTGAGGTTAGTGGATTAGCATGGATTAGCTCTTGCTGTGAAGGGGCTGGATCACTGGTAGTTTTATGTCAAGAGGCGGCCTCGAGTTTAGATTGAACCCCTCGACGTTGCAACGGATCAAGGTTCTTCCTTAAGAGAAGATCCCTTGCATGTGCCTCGTGCTCAGAGGAAGGTGTGGAACTGATGGATCGCCATTCAGGTCGTGTTGTTTGCGCTTTGTAAATGCCATCTAGAGCCTTCGTTTTGTGGGGTTTCGTTGTACCCAATCACAATCACGCAGATGAAGCGATTCTGCCGAACTTTGGACAAGATACAGATTTTTCAATATTTCTTTCCAAAACACGATCCAACTTGTTCAGTAGCTGAAAGCCCATTTCGAGAAGATTGGCAATGCAACATCAGCGAGAGCACAGAATGCATACAATTGCACATAGTGTTCATATCTATAGATATATGTATAATATATATATATATATACACATACATACATACATGCATGCATGCATACATACAGACACACACACATACATACATACATACATACATACATACATTAATTACATACATACATTAATTACATACATACATACATACATACATGCATGCATGCATGCATGCATGCATGCATACATACATACATACATACACACACATACACACACACATACATACATACATACATACATACATACATACATACATACATACATACATACATACATACATACATACATACATACATACATACATACATATTTGGTGACTGATTATCCTGAGGCCTGTGTGAGAGAGCCCCCTTTGTAAAGCCTTATAACTTGACTGCAATGATGCTGACCAGTCACTGACCAGTCACTATAGCTGGAATAGTCGTACTCGCACATCGCAGCTGGCCAGATGATTCCTACTTTGTCTGCATCCTTTGTGGAGCGTCTTCAAAGGAGATGCCGATGCCCCGCAACCAGAGTTTGTTTTGGGGTCGGGTGTGGCGGTCACAGTGTCTAAGCCGCGGTTGTTTCAAATTTGAGGTCCACCACTGAGATAGATTTCTGATGATCTGTGGACTCACTGATCTTGCAACCGGAAATTCGCCTGATGACTGCATTGCTGCCAAGTGCTTTCCAAACTCACTAGTTACTGTACTTAGTTACAGTAACTCTTACTTGGTGAAACCAGGGTTTTAACAGGAATCCTATCCCCAACTTGCCCGAATTCCTGTTTGGTCAGCTTTCTGCATCTTTCTGTCAGGTTATCTATGATTCTATGGTTATTTTATATCAGGGATGTTTATATATGATCATATTAGCTCATGTTCTTTCACGCTCTTTCAGTTGGATCCCCAGTTTGTTGCTTCCTTCCAGTGGCAGTTTCGGCTCAGCTCCGCATTCCGGTAGCGATGGCTCCGCGTGAGCCAGGCGCACCAGCCAGGGGGTCCTCGGGGTCTCTGCTACACATCACTTGACACCGACAAAACATGGGGAATCAATCAAACAGGAAACACGGGGGATATTGACTTGATTATATATTTGTATATATGGCTGCAGCTGAAATGTAAGGTCCTGATCCATACCCCGGACGCACAGGCGATCCATACCCCTGATCCATATGCCCGATCCATACTCCCGATCCATACCTTTTTGAAGAGATTGAATTCATTTGAAATTTGATATCATTTGTGTCACTCCTTGGTTCCATACGGCCGGATCACCGCGTAGCGATCCATACCGTTTTTTGAGCCATAGCCTATAGACTTGTAAGTCCCAGTTTTATATACATTTTTGGGAGGTGAAACTTTCGGTGAAACATTTCTTATACATGGTTGTCAAAGGGTGGTGCCCCGCCCCAGTAGGGTCGTTGTTGTTCTCGAGAACATGACCAGGCAAAGCGGCGGAGAACGATGAGGAGCACAAGGCGGGCCGACGGGGGTGTGGCTGAGCAACGAGCACACCCGGAAGAATGGGGGTTGAAGTAAGGGATTTCAATGGATTTCATTTAACCATCCTAAATTGGGACAACTTGGGGACTTCACCGAGAAGCAGACTTGAAGATTTGAAGACTTGACTTAAGCCCAAAAATGGCTTTGGAGCTTGACTCAAGGAAAACTGCCTGAAATGGACACTTTTGGATTACATGTTTTGAATTTCAGGAGTGGAGTGCTGGTTCGCAAGATTGCCAAAGCCACATTTTTGCTTGAAGCATATCCCTGGAGTTGGGACCTAGGGCTAAGTGCGCCCCGGTTTCACACCACATCATGTGCTCTTTCACACTTAATGCCTCCAAGCGGGGTATGTCATATCTCGTAGAAACCATCGGGGCATTTTGAAGGTACAACATGCAAATATGATTAATGATGGTTAAGAGCAATATTACTTTTGGGGGACTAAAGATGTATAAAGATATATGCAGAGCTTACATTTACATATGCATATGGTGTAACAGTGTATGTAGTGTATATAATGTGTATAGTGTATAGAATGTATATCATATGTCATATATTAATTATATATAAAAAGTGTATATATATATATGTGATATGATCATGATTTCTTGGGACAGACCTGGTTGTGCTGACCCTGGTGCTGGGTCCTTTGATTTTGTTGTTGATCTGCTGAAATCTGGCGAGGCACCAACCATTTTATGGGGGTACGATAGGACACTTTGAGAAAGGTAACTCAACCATGTGATTTTGGGGTTTGTCTCAAAACGGGGGCCTTTGGCCCCCCACAGTTATGACACATTCTATTGTGGATGGGTGGTGTACTCCGTTGTCAGACAAATCCAAAGCTGCAATTGTCCAAGTGAGTGTGGAAAGCGACTTTTTCTCCAAACCATGGAAAAACGATGAAACCTATTTTTCATAGCAGGCCACCCATGACTACAATAATGGTTTTTCCCATCCGAAGTCCGCAGAACGCGACAGGGTCCGCAAAACGCGGTGGCAGAGGCGGTTCTGTACCCTCAGCAGCCACTTGGCAAGTTGGTTGAACCACGGCATGGGTTGTTTTTTCATCTTGCGATAGCTAAGTTGTCGCACAGAACTTGGTTAACTAGTAGGGTTTCAAGGGAATATAACTACAATTAACTATTATACTATACAGTTAATGGGGGTTAACTAACTTCAAATTCGGAGACCTCACCTTGTAGGCTGGCTCGGTTGAACATGGGATCAAGGTTGCCTCATTTTGACCGGGTTTTCCTCTCTGCGGTAGTCAATGAAATCGATCACGTATAGATAGGCATAGTCTATACCATTTGTTACCATATGGTGAATTTCACTATACATTCAAGTTACATACCCTCCCCTTCCGACAATCAAACATGGCTTTCCGGAGAATCCTCTGTTTTTGGATCGCTTCCAGGCATATGACGACGGCGCAGGTGGAAGCAGCCTTGTCCGAGCAACAGAGAGAGTTGTCCCTTGGCTGTGACGCGTGGACCTCCTTAGATACATTAACGATGTATATATATATATATATAATATATATATATATATTATATACATATATACTATATGTATAAAACAACATTAACCAACCATTTTCTTAGAAATCTTAGAATTTCATTGGATAGAATGCAGAGAAGCGATTGGACATAGATGCCACGATTTTTCGAAGTTGTGGAACATCGTGGATTTTCATGTTTGCTTGACATGCAAGATGTAAAGGCAACCATTTCACGGGGACCCAAATGGATACCATGGATGGAACGGCGGGTCCATCCCCGATCTGTCAACATCTGTCAACATCTGTCAACTGGGTGAATTCACGATGGTCATCGACCGATGCTTTCCATTAAAAATAATGATTTTACCGTTGATCTATGTCAGCGTGTTTGGTGCTTATAAAATCTAAGAAAAAAACTGTTTCTGTAGGTTGTGACTTAATCCTCTTTTTTGGACCACCTGGAACACCCTCTATGTCGCAAATAACATCCTTCTCATCGATTAAGCCCTCCATGTTGCGGGTTAAATCCTCAATCTATATAGTTTGACCCCCAATTTTGTTGCTTTAACTTGAACTTCTGAATGTTCACAGGAAGGGTCCCCCAAACAACAAGTCAGTTGCTTTAACTGTTCGATTTGTGGAGGATAGCTCTATAGTTAGACAAAACATCATTTGGGGCCCGGGACGCATATCCAAAGCGCAGGCACATGCTGGTGGCCCACCACTACGAGACTGCCAGGCAGTTCCTCGGAGCAAGGGATGCCAGGCAGTTCCCGGTGCAGCTGGCGATTGAAACCGGATGATGGGATGAGGATCCCTGAGCCTTTGGGGATTTTTTTCGGGTTGAAACATGGTGAAACCATCAACCAACATACGAATTGGCTGGTCATTTTCGATATTTTCGATCCACCTCAGTCATTTTCGTACTGGTACTTTGACTCATTCTGCAACCATCGCCCATACATGCCATACCTATATTCTGTGCTGGACTTGTATGATGTATGAGAACCATTGGGAACCCCAAAAAAGATGCCGCACAGTGTTTCCAGCATGATCAGGATGTATGTATATGACTGTATATGATGTCTTTCTGAAAATCTCCAGGTTTTCAACTTTTCGACATCTTTCCTGGGCTTGTTGTACTTATGTCGGCAACCTCCCAAGGATGTTGGCGTCCAGGGACCAGAAGCTTGGCTGAGACCCCTTCCATAAGGCTTGGAAGATTGGTCACTAAGAAATCGCCATTTTCAGGGTCTATCTGTTAATTTCCTGGAGGGTATGAGCCATGGAGAGTTTCTTGTGTATTTCCGGTATGGTGTATTTCAGTGTTTCATAAGTTTAAAGGCGACAACATATGGGAAAGGGGGTCATTCTGTGCCATTTTGATAGGGAAACTTATGATAAACCATGGGTTTTATTTTGGGGTCCCAAATTCAGAGACAAACTCAAAACTTGTTGGATCATGTTGGATCTACTTGTACTTCTATAAAAAAACGGAGTTCAATGGATTTCATAGATGAACTTAGATGAACTTAGCATATTTCAGCACAGAAAATGCCCGGAATTTGAGGATGGCCATGGCCTGTCAGATCGAGAACCAGGAGCTTCGCGCGCAGATCGGGGAGTTGCGGAAGCAAAACTCCAGCTCTGCGACTTGGCACCTGGAAGGGTCCGCTTGGGAAGATTGGATTCTTCAATCGGGAACAAGATATACCATACTGATACTATAGTAACTATACAATAGTATACATATGTATACATTAATATACTATATATATATATATATATAGATCCTCGATTGCTTAGTATCTTCGTATAGATGGATATTTATGATCATTTAAGCATCACATCAGATGGCCTCTGAGACGAGTCATCTCTGAGGTTCATGTGTCAAGGGTCTAAGACTGTCATGGACCAGCTATGGAAGCCTTGGAGCATTTGAAATAGTTTGATGATTTACCTATTAAAAATGGGTGGATTTTCCATAGCAAACTGTTAGTTTACCAGGGAGTACATTTGAGATCAGGAAATGGATAGACATGGGGATATTTTTCACCATCCATCATGGATGGGATATGATTTGGGTCACTCTGAAGATGGGGATATCCCTTAAAAATGCTATTTTTTAATAGGGAAACTGCTGATAAACCATAATATTTTGGGGTTGTCCCCTAGGTTTTTCAGACACGCCGATTAATATTTTGGTGATATAAATATGGACCTGCCTGTCCTAGCATTTGGCAGGGCTTGATGGATGAATGAATGAGTTAATGAAATTATGAAAGAATGAAAGAATGAAAAATGAAAGAATGAAATGATGAAAGAATGACACAATGAAATCATGAAAGAATGAAAGACAAAAGAACGAAATAATGAACGAACGAAAGAACCGAAGAACCAAAGAACGAACAAAGGAAGCAACAAAAGAACGAAAAAAATAAAGAATTATTGAATGAATGAATAAATTAACACATGAATAAATGAATAAATGAATAAATGAATAGATATATATATATATACATTGTACTGTACATGTTTTGCATTGCAACTTCGACTCTTCATAGAGATGATCCCCAATAGCGTTGGGGCATGTGGACAGAGTTTTATCCCCAACAGCTTTAGCTTAGGGGTCTCAGCCCAGATAGAATTCGGTGCAGCTTCCGGTGCAGGTTCCGAACATGTTTGACTTTGTTTTAGTGCAACTTCAACTTTGCATTTGAGGTGTGCTTCTCCATCTGCTTGGCGCAACGCACACACATACACACATGGCATTGGTTCAAAATCAAGTCGCGCCCACATTTTCCAACCACCTTTCCTGTTGGGGATACCACCTGAGTTTCTTTTGACCGAGGCCAAACGGCAGCGAGATCAACAGTTGCTGGCACGGCAGCATGTACAGGCCAACCGGGTTCTGTTGAAACGTCTCTTGGATTCAACGCTGGCTGTTGGGATTTGTCATTGATGAATCATGATGAATCTTTGAGCGTTGCAAGGATCTTTTTCCAATGTGCTGTGGGTCGTAGCATGTCGTTCACCATAAAAAAAGGGGGAATGTTTTTGAAGCCTTCGTAGCGGAATTCAGAGGTGAACTTGGAATTGCTGACCGCCTTGCAGGAATCAGTGGCCATTCTACAGGGTAGGAACCCATTTATTGGAGCTACCTGCCATATGTATTAATTATTATAAGGTCCATTTTTTCGGGCTGAATTTCAGGGGATATATTCCCAATTTCTATGGCTTTATATGGTACAGCAGCTCCAGTTTAGGTACCTGATATGGCCATTAATTGATATAATAGTGACAAGAAACCATTCATGCCATATGAAGTTGGTTATCGATGGTTATGTATCCCAACCATATCCCATTATCTCCCCATACTAGTTTGTTATCAATACAGACATCCGTGTCTTCAATGTTTGAAGGCAGCAGTAGATGGCCAATGTGGCCATGGAATTCCTGGAGTGTGACACCAACCATCTTGGAGCCCTTTTATTGCCGATGGTCAACTCTTCGACCATTCTTGGTTACTTTAGTCATATGAGATTGTACCTATTTTGAATTCATAGAGAGTAATTTCTATATATCTGCATCTGCATCTGTATCTAATTAATATCTACACCGTTACCTATATCAATGTCATTCAATGTCATTCAATGTCTATAGATATCTGCATGTGTATCTGTATCAATCACAGAATCTGTACCGAGCCTCGATCCCCATCCTGGGTACTTGTCGTTTGGCACTTGTCGGCACATCCCTGAGGTGACTTGGAAGCGCGCAAGACGGAGCAAGAGAACGCGGAGTTGCGATCCACCTTGGCGCAATTGCAAGCCAACCCGCCCAGGGCACCCTTGCAGCTCGGGTTGATGGTTAGTGGGGTGCGAAGGGACCATCCCCTGGATCGTGGTTAGTGGATGTTATGTGGGGTTACTTCACCAACTTATATGTGGAATTATTCGACTTAGAGGACTTCTTAAAGAATTTACCAAGTGAGATGATCCTCCAAGTAGGTGCCCTGGGGGGTTGAGAATTTATGGTGAACAGTATGGTGGAAACGAGGATTTCTGCCATCACCTAGCGGGGGGTTTGGGCTTGTGGTCAATTTCAGATATGGCTCCCTAGGTACCTTAAAATAGCTGGTATAGCAGGATGTTTATCTCCCCAAATATGGCAATAATAGGTTTTGACCCAATGAGGACTTGAGAAAAAATGCTTCTAACTGGGGGTACTCGGATGATGATGCATGGGGAGATACATGTGACATCATGTGACCAAGAAACACAAAGCGTACCAAGTATGTGGATGTATTGGGGACACACAGTATACGTATATAAACATAAACATATGAACAATGCATCTGGGTATGATACGATGAACCTGTGATGATCCAACTACCGTTAGGCTTGATGGTTTGTAGCTGGCTAGTATATCTCTTGACATTTTACAGTTCTGTTTGGGTCTAGAGGCTGAGTTGGCCGACTTGGCAACTTCAACACAACAACTTTCTAGTTTGGTGAGCATAAGTCAAGACTGGTGGCTGGTTTGAACTGGGGATGTGTCAAAACCTATGAAATTACCATATTTGGGGGCATACGCATCCACTAAGCATGTATTTTAGGGTATCCAGGGCGCCACGGTTTGACTTATAGCCAACTATTGTTTTTTTTATTCCTGCCTGGGACGATCCCCATTGGTACTCGGATATTTTTCAGCTTGGGATATGAAATCCGGCACAGGCACCAACCACTGCAGCCTTTTGTCTGCGTTCATCTGCATGCAAAATTGACTTTCAGGGTGGTTAAAACCACCAACCAGGTTTGGATAGTGAAAATAGTGAAATGAGAATCAATCCTTCCGGTCCAAACAACCTGGACACTGGGTTTGTGCCTCGAAACACAACTGATAGTATTGTAATAGTTATATTGTAATGCTAAGTCGGCAACCTTTGGTTCATACGGGAAGTCTCAAACATGTGACAAGTCCAATTAAACAGGGTGGGTGTGCGCTTCTGTTTTTTCTGATTTCGACCCATATTGAAAAGGATGATCTCCAAGGATAACACTATTTTTGAGATATATAGGCCGAAACCACCAATCTGAAGAATGTAGCCCCATTATAACCCAGGGATAAATGTCCCAGAATTGGTAGAACATTTGCAGGAAGGCCAATGTTTTAAGAGCATTATATTATATCTAGGTGGTCTATATCACTGGATTGGTTTCAGGAAAAATTACAGGCACACCGCCTATATTTGATGGTAAAAACAATGGTTTCCTGTAGATTGATTTTCCCTTAAACCAATCCATAGACTATAGTGGTGGAACAGTGGAACATCCAAAAATGGTGGAGCTTCCATTGCTTAGCCCCAGGTCTTTAGATGACGAGCTCACTGAGAATCCGGGGTGCGGCACTCGAATCAAGATTGGGATTCAACGTGATTCAACCAGCAAAGCGTTTGGATCGAAATCCCGCTCTATTTCTTTCTGCCCAACCTTCAGATTTTTTGACTCCAAGTGTGGGGAAGTGTTTCTCGATGTGTACATGGTTTGCATATCAAGAGTAGTGGGGTTTTTGGGGTATCCATCCAGCAGGTCACCGATGAACGGCAGATTGATAAACTCCGCAGATCAAATGTTCGATTTCGCTAGCCATCCCATCCCATGGAGCAATGGAGCGCTAGGCCCCGTTTCCTGAGATCATGTCACTTTGGCTGATTCGATTTCCGGCAAGTCGTCCGATGCTGGGCCCGTTTCCCTTCACGACGCAAATGATGCAGGGCTGATGGCTCCAGCTGCTGCATGCCGTGGTCCCTGCGCGGCCGATGGTCACCGATGAGTCCTTGAAACTCTTGGCCCGAAGGCAACCAGAGCTGCTGGCCTCCACCCTGCGACAACATCTTGGCCAAACAAATATGAAGACCTTTGACTCCGACCAAGTCCAACAAGTTTTGAGTCAGGGAATCACTTCCTGTGGTAGAAGCAACCTATGGCAGGAGGCGCTTGAGATTTTTCAACTTCTAATAGAGCTAGAGAAACCTGACGTCATCAGCTATAGCGCCCTGATCTCATCCTTCAGAGGACAATGGCAACGAGCCATGCAGCTTTTCACAGAGATGCTGCAGGCAAGAAACGAAGCGGATGCTGGTTGCTGCTTTGAAATACAACTTTTTTTTGGCGACAGCTATCTTATGTTTCTAGCCTCTTTGTGATGACTATCCCATTGGAATCAGATTGTGTACACGTGTATATCATTACATCTCTGTATACATACAGTACAACTATCTAAACTATTCTAAACTATTCTAAACTATTCCAAACTATTATATATATATATCTATCTATATCTATCTATATCTATCTATATCTATCTATATCTATCTATATCTATCTATATATCTATATCTATCTATATCTATTATATATATATATCTATCTATATCTATCTATATCTATCTATATCTATCTATATCTATCTATATCTATCTATATTTCATATCTCTATCTCTCCATCTCAGCATTTCCCTATCTCTCTATCTCTCTATATTTCTCTATCTGTCGTGAAGCCCTCTCGCTATCTATATATATAATTCTCTACCTATCTATCGATCTATCTATCAATCAATCTATCCATCTATCTATCGATCTATCTATAGATCTATCTATAGATATATCTAATACATATGGATATATAATTATATATATAGAACTATACAGATGTATGCATCGCATACGTTCATACACATACATTTTTTTCTGGGGGATTGACACCACCACATTTTCCCAGATTTTCGGAGCCAGGATGTGATCAGCTTCAGTGCCGTGATCAGCTCATGTGAAAAGTCCAGCCAGTGGACTCAGGCCCTGCACTTCTTTGGTCTCATGAGGGAGCATCGAATCCCAGCCAATGTGGTCAGCTTCTCCGGATTTGAAGTTGAAGTTCTCCAAAGTTCTCTTGATGTTCCAAGTTTTTTTAGAATCCAGCAAACTTGAGTCCATGAGAAGTCAATTGTTATTTGTTTTGATCGTGAATCCAAGGCTATAGTGCTTTGATCAGTGCGGCTGAGAAGGCTGGGCAGTGGCAACTGGGACTGCAGGTGTTTTCAGAGTTGGATGGTCACATCAAGCCGGATGTCATCAGCTACAGTGCAGCAATCAGTGCATGTGAGAAAGCAGGAAAGTGGCAGTTGGCTCTGTTGCTGTCACTCTCCTGATGTGTTTAGGGGCACGTGCCATGGAAGCTTCTGACTTAGGAGTGAGATCTTAAGTTGTTGAGGCTCTCTCCCATCATCCTGTCAGTTGCAGCGAGAAACCGGAGGAGTTCACTGTTGATTATCCCATCATCCACTATTTTGGGCCACAGGTTGAACCCACCAGGAGGTTGAAACGGTGCTGAATTGACAGCAATTTCTGCACTTCCAAACTTGATACCAAAAACAATCCCACTTCTTGTCAATTTTGGGTCTGCCCGATTCCGCCATCCTATCCGCCAAATCTTTCGAACCCATTTATTCTTTGTGTTTGTCCTCCTGAGTTCCCCATCATGTATTTCTCAAACACAAAAACCGCAGCAAGTCGCAAGGTTTGAGGACATGCCAAGTTCCAAGATCTTTCCCAACATCATCAGCCTCAATGCCGCCATCGCTTCCTGTGAGAAGGGCCACCAGTGGCTGCTGGCCCTCCACTTCCTCCACTGCTCCCGCTGGACCTCGATGCGTCCGGACGTCATCAGCTATAGCTCGGTTCTCTCAGCCTGCGCAACGCAGGGCCAGTGGCGTTGGGCCTTGGAGGTCTATGGTCGGATGAAGGGGGAGACCCTGGAGATGTGGCTGGATGTGATCTCCTGCAATGCAGCTGGGCCTAGAATTGGATTTTTTGGGGATGCAGCTGGTCATCCCAACAAATCAGTGGAAGTGTTGATGAGTGTAAGAAACATGTTTCTGAAAACTGGGTTTTAGCTGTAGGAAAGTTGGTGGCTTCCTAGATATCCTGTGATGTTAGTCTTCGTCCTGCCACCCCGAGGCAGCCATTAGTTCTTGCGAGAAGGGCACCCAGTGGCCTGCGGCGTGTTACCTTCTGCAGGGTCTCACAGATGTCATCAGCTACAATTCTGCCATCAGCTCATGCCGGCGCGCTCCAACCACCCCGGCATGGCAGATGGCAGAGGGCTTGTTCGTGGAGATGAGTTGGAAGGGAATTGAAAGAAATGTACTGACACATACAGAGATGGTCAGTACATTTATAGATTCTGGTCAGTTCAAATTTGGAGCAGGTGCGCTGAATGAGATCCCTCTGCACCGGCTGCTAAAACAGCTCGCGGAAAGACGTGTGCACAAAAAGAACATCAGGCCCAATACGTGAATTAGTTCGTTGAGTGCCATTGTGGTTCAATTTCGGTGTACATATATATATATATATATATATATTGTGATTTTCCACCATGCAGCGTCCTATATTGCCAATCCGCTTGCGAATCAGGAACCAGAGCCAAAGCCAGCATGTCGCCAGGCATTACGGCTCAGGGAGCTAGGAGAGGGTGGAAGCGGGCATTTCGCCTTGCAGCCATAGGGCACGGCAGTGACAGGGTCACCTTGGACCAACAACAGGACTTGCCAGTCCAATCGGAAGCAGCAGTACGGAACCTTTGCAGGATCCTTTTTGCGCAGGCCAAAACAAGAGACTGTTTCGCTGTGGGACTATCAGGTGTGGAGTGGGTGAGGTCACCCATCAATATCTGTGATTCCCATTTAGACGTGGTCATTGTTTTTGCAGAGGGAGCTCTACCAGTTACATTGGTAGCGGAGCTCCGGCTCCAGCTCCGAAGTTCCAGGAGGTGCCTTAAAGATGGCTTCAACATCAGACGGGGATGGAGGAACCAGCACCGGAGTTGGCTCACAGTTGGCCACATTGGTTCCTTCGTTCAACCCTTCAAAGGATGACTTACAGACATATCAGAAACGAGTAGAGCTTGTACTTGCAGCATGGCCCCCAACGAGAATCACAGAACTGGTAATGAGGTTAATCCTGAACTGCCAGGGAAGTGCATTCGACAAACTGCAATTACATCAGGCCGAGTTGATGGAGAACGATGAGAAATGTGTCCGTAAAATCATCACACTTCTGGGTGGTCACTGGGGCAAAATTGGATTAGAAAAGCAGTACGAGGATGCTGAAACAGCCCTGTTCCATACAACACAGCATTCAGACGAGTCAAACGACTCATATTTGGCTCGTGCAGATGTGGCTTGGAGCAAACTGCTGTCCAGAAAGCTGCAACTCAGTGATTTGCAGGCGTTTATCCTTTTGAGAGGATCATCGCTGTCTCCCGAGGAGAAGAAGAAGGTAATCTTGGAATCTGATCAATCACTGGAGGGACAATTGACTGTAGCTAAGGTTTCTGAGGCCATCCGAATCCTTGGTGCAACGTTCTTCAATGAGATGACAGGTGCCAAAAAGCAAGTGAAGAACAAGGTGTATGATTCGACCACTTTGGTCGCCGAAGAAGACTATGATGAGGAAGCCCATCTAGCAGCCCTGGATGAGATGGGAGAAGACGAAATCCTGGATTGTTTGCTCAGTGAAGGTGACCCTGATGCTACACTGATAGCTGATTTTGAATCAGCGGCAGTAGAACTGATGCAGGAGGACAATGCTCTTGCTTCGGCATACACTGCGTATCAAGATGCTCGACGCCGCCTTGCTGACAAATCGAAGTTCCGAGGGTTTTGGCCTGTCTCTAGAGATACCAGTGGGAACCCTAAAGGAAAAGGGTTTCAGAACAAAGGCAGTGGCAAAGGCAAGGGACAATGGTCCAATCGCCCTCGCCGCAGCTTGCAGGATCGAATCATGAACTCCACATGCAGGATATGTAACAAGAAGGGACACTGGAAGGCCGAATGTCCTTTCAGACAGTCCAGCACCGCAGCATCAGCATCCGGCATGTCGCACTCATCTGCATCCGGCACTTTGCCGACCACCACAGTGATTGCTGATCAGGGAGATGATATGCTGCCACTGGAGTTTGTGCAATTGCCTGAGATCACCGTGCCCAAGTCAGATGAGTCTCAGCCAAGTTTTTTGTCGTGTCACCGCATGTCAGGGGTGAGCAATCCATGTTATGTAGGGGTGATTCATGGGGAATCTAATGGGAATAACATGGTTAGGCAGGGTAAGCATCCCACGGCATATGAAAGAATAAAAGCCCGGTTTTCATGCAAAAGGCAAGATAACCGGGAGTTCACAAGCCTGCCCAGGAAGAATGACCACCTGAGACCAACCGTCATGACTGCCATGGACCGGATTCAAAGGAATGCCAGTCCGAGATCCGAAGTGAGTTTGGAAGCTCCGAGACAAGCATCTGCCAGTCCCAATTTGTCCGAAAGCCAAGTGTGTTTTGCCACCCATGCTTCATATGGCATATTGGATTTAGGTGCTTCCAAAACAGTTATCGGTAGTGATTGCTTGCCAGAACTAATTCGCAGCCTTGATGCCGACACGCAGAAGCAATTGACCCGTTGCCCGTGCCATGTGACATTTCGGTTTGGGAATGAAGCTACACTTTCAAGTAATCAAGCTTTGGTCATACCACTGGGTAAATTGTTGTTGAAAGTGGCTATTGTACCGGGAGGAACCCCCTTTTTGCTGAGTAACACACTCATGAGGGTCATGGAAGCCAGCATAGACTGCGCTAAGCACACGTTGTCCAGCAAGATGTTCAATCAGCCAGTGAAGCTTCAATTGACACCCAAGGGTCTTTTCCTGATAGACATCAATTGTTTGATTCAAGCTGCAAGGGACAACCAATCCACTAGCCGAACACCTGGTGCACAGACTTTTGCAGAGACCTTTGTGTCCGACGAGGTGTCCGAAAAGGGTCAACCAAAGCCGACCACGATCACAGTCCTGAGTGATCACACATGTCTCAGGCAACAGGTAGATACTAGCAGGTCCAATAAGCCTCAGAATGAATCCCCTGTGTTTGAAGCCACAAAGATGTCAGAATCACGGGAGAACCAACAGCCGAAACCACACACAGCCGAATGTGCAGAATCACCACCGGCTCAAAGTGCCCCTGTTCCACAGGTGAAAAGAAAGTCCGTTGAGTTCAGAGAACATGTCTCTCAGCCAGCGCCTTCGAAACCTGCAGATACCAGCCAACACCACCGAGTTGGCCAGCCTCGAGCACCTGACCTTGGAAGATCTGAATCAAGAAGTAGTGACGTTCGGACAGAAGTATGTGGGGTGTCATTTCCAAGACACGTGGCAGGATCAGGAGTGGATCCAATTCATGGTGAGCAGGTATCAGAGAAGCACGAAGGAGAGTCATCGCCGCTACTTGCGGTACGTGGAGTTGAAGGTCGAGACCATGGAGCAACAGCAGAGTGCCATCCCTCCACGGTCCAACCCACAGGCCATCGTGCGGGGACAGGCCAAAGCAAAGGCCAAAGCCAGCCCAGTGGCTCCTCATCACACCTCTTTGCCAGATGGGGAGGCCGATTGGGATATCGAACCAGAGACATATGCCTCTCTGACTATGACCGGCCCGAACATCTACACCCAGGAGGACATGAGGGCCATCCAAGATCGCATGCTGCACATGGAGAATGCACTGTCCAGGGTGATTCGACACATCGAGGACCAGGCATTGATGCAGCAGCTGAATCATGCGGAGGAGGATCAGTGAGAGAGGACTGGGGAGAGGAAATCCTAACAACTATGCACTCCGAGACTCATCAACTGTATGAACTAGTTTCTCAGTTTGATCAAGAACTTCAAAATGTGCTGCAACAAACTCCTGCCTTAGGTAGTCGTTGGTTGTTAGGAGAAGTCATGTGTGGTGAGAATTCACAGTTGACTCATCAGGTGCAGCAGTTGGGAAAGTCCGCGTTCAGATTCAGTTACCAGAATGGTGACCTATCAACCGTACAGGGAAGAGCGGCTCTCTTCCAGCTTGTTGGCAGACATCGGCCAAAGCACTTATGGTATAGCCCCACCTGTGGACCCTGGTCATCTTGGTCAAGACTGAACGAATCCCGATCCTTGTTACACCAACAAGAGTATGCCAAGAAACGCAAAGAACTCATGTATCAAATTGCCTTGGGAATTTCACTTTATCGTCATCAAATCATGCACGGAGACCATTTTCACTGGGAACAACCTCAACGTTCACTGATGTTTCAAAACCCCAACTTAGCCGAAGTTCACCAACACACCCAAGCCTGCCAATTTGATATGTGCCGAGCTGGTGGTCTTGTCGACCCTGAGTCGCAAATGCCTATGAAGAAAGGAATGACCGTACTGACCACTCATGCCGGATTGTACTCCCATTTTCATGGAATGCTATGTGACCAATTGCATCAACACCAACCGATCGAAGGATCATGCCGACCAAACAAGAATGGACCCATGATGTTGAGATCTGAATATACCGAAAACTATACCCGAAAATTTGCCAGAGCAGTAGCCAGGGTTTTTGCAAAAGGCAACCATCAATGGCCGTTCAACTGGAAACCAGGGATGATTTGTTTTTCAAGTCCTGAGAATGACGCATTTGCTGCAACCTCAAAGGTCAAACAGCCACCTCAGTTTGCCAGATCCGAGTTGCTCAGTCCGACACCACATCGCGGACCCGGTGACAAGAGGATACGTTCCAAAAGTCACCAAGGCAATGAACCATCGCTGGAAATGTGCCAACAGGCTATCCAGGCAATCTCAGCTGTGTTTCCAAGAGTAGGTACTCGGGAAATCACCGATGGGGATTTGATGCAGCAAATTCAAAACATATTCCCTGATAAAGAAATAGTACGGGTAATGGGATGTAAGGGGTCCGAACGCACAGTGGCACCACCTTCCAGTTTGCATCCACATGAAGCTCCATTTAGGAAAGCCCTAATTTTGAGAAGAGATGGGAGCATCCAATACGAAAAGAACTGGGAAAGATGGATTCATTTGTCAAAACGACAGCTGACTCGTCCTGCTCATGCCAGTCGACTGAACATCACTGCATTTGCTAAGGACCGGGACCAGTCCCAGACATGCCAAAACAGAGACAATTCGATGGAATCCAATGCACAGGAGAATGTCGATCCAGGCCCTGAGGCCTCTGAAGAAGATGTTCCGGAGTCCACCAGAGACTTTGTTCCGAGCACAGCCAGTGATCCGGAAAAGAAGCCCAGCTTGAATCGCATCGAGCCATCCCAAGACGGGGATTACAAACGGGTTGATGAAGTGATCCACCGAGAAGGAAAACATGATCAGGAAGTCATCCCTGACACCATCATGCAGCAACAGAGCCTCCGGTTTAGGCAATTGCCTCGTTGGGAACAACAGACCATACTGAGAATGCATAAGAACCTAGGACATCCTGCAAATGACCGACTTGCAAGAGCTCTCCAGATCAGTGGATCACGACCGGCGGTAGTGCAAGCGGCTCAGGAAATTCAGTGTCGTGTGTGCGCTGCCAATGCGCCACCAAAGCATTCCCGGCCAGCCACTTTGAAAAGTATGTTGGATTTCAACCACAGGATATATCTAGATGGGGTGACTTGGACCAATCAAAAGGGGAAAAGTTATCACTTTTATCACATCCTTGATGCTGGAACCAACTACCATGTGGCCATTGCAGCACCTTCCAAAGCAACGGAGGATCTAATCCAGATCATGAATCAACACTGGATAAGTTGGGCAGGTCCTCCTCAAGAGTTAGTAACCGATTCCGGTACTGAAATGAACAGTGTCCAGTTTGAAGAGTTTGCACAAAGGTTCAGCATTCGGCACACCACAACCACACCGGAAGCCCATTGGCAGAACGGCAAAGTAGAGAGACATGGAGGGTTTCTACAAAGTATGTTGGATAAGATCGATATGGAACATCCAATTTCTGACTATGGAGCACTCCAAATGTCCCTGAACCAGGCAACCCATGCAAAGAATACCCTGAGTATCCGACATGGTTATGCCCCGGAAATAATAGTGTTCGGCAAACAATCACGACTCCCAGGTTCTGTGTTGTGCGATGAATCCCGACCTGCCCATGAACATGCTTTGGAAGAAAATTCACCATCAAGCCAGGAGTTTCGTCAAATGCTGGCTGTCAGGGAAACAGCACGGAAGGCATATCACTTCGCTGACAACAGCGACGCATTGCGCCGAGCTGCTCTGAGACGTTCATGTCCAAGCCGCGGCCGCTTTGACAAAGGCGATTGGGTGATGATTTGGAAAGAAAATCCATTAAAACAAGCTAGATGGCAGGGACCCCACTGAGTAATCATCCAGGATGACCAATATACTGTATGGTGTACCTCTGGGGGAAAGATTCACCGTAGTGCTCCAGAAAATACCCGAAAGGCATTTCCTGAAGAAGGATCACCAGAAGGTCCCGAATTACCACCTGACATAACTCCCATGATGCAACAAATCCAGAGAATGCAATCCCAAGCTCATAATCCCATTGACAGTGATAACATAACCTCAGAAATTAATAATCCCCAAGATAACGAAGGTAACCAGAATAATCCACCTGACCTCAGTCACGAAAATGAAACCAACGGGAATGCTGATTCAGAATCAACCAATCAGCCCAACAACCACAATGAAACGGACAGTCAAGACGATTCAGTTCCACAGCCAGATCAGGAACCAGACAATACCATATCAGATGACATACCACTGAATCCCGGAGATCAGGACGCTGACGAACCCAATATGCTGACAATGGAGAATTCCGAGAATATCATCCGAATCACATGCCAAGAACCAGAAAATGCCCTCACATGTGAAGTGATGGAACCGGTAGCATGGCGATGTGAGTTTGATTTTGACCTTGGAATCAATGCGGCTCACCAGACACCTGATGAGACAGAATCATGGATTTTGCTAGCAACTTCTGCAAAGAAACAACGAACCGAGGTCAAGCTAACAGAACTCACGCCGACAGAAAGAGCCGAATTCCAAGCTGCTAAGGAAAGTGAGGTGCAGAACTGGATCAAAACAGGAACCATCAGCACGGTATTGAGAAATCAAATACCTGAAGAGCAAATCTTGAGATGTCGCTGGATTCTAACTTGGAAGCCAATAGACACTGCGGATCTAAAGGAAACTTCCGAAAGAACCCACAAAGCAAAGGCGAGGCTGGTCGTACTGGGGTATCTTGATCCACGGATTGAAGAGATCCCTCGGGACTCCCCAACCTTAAATAAGACTTCTCGAATGATAGCCCTCCAAGTTATTGCTTCTCACAATTGGACCATGCGAAGTTTTGACATAAAAGCTGCTTTTCTTCAGGGACAACCACAAGCAGACCGGGTGACAGCAATAGACCCAGTCCCAGAACTCCGAAAAGCACTAGGCATGAAACCCCAAGAAGTTTGCCGTCTCAATAAGAGTGCATATGGTCTCATAGACGCTCCTTTCCTATGGTACTGTGCCCTGGTATCAGAACTCGTGAAGCTGGGATTCGAACAAAGTCCTTTTGACCCATGCCTGATGATCCTCAGATCTTATGAAAACGATGGCACTGCAAAACTAGAAGGGATCTTGGGAATTCATGTTGATGATGGCATAGGGGGAGGCAGTGAAATCTTCGAAGCTAAAGTTCGCGAACTAGAGGCAAAATTTCCATTTGGATCTCACAAGGTGTCGTCATTTACCTTTACTGGAATTGAGATGACACAACACCATGACTACAGTATCTCCATGAATCAATCAGCGTATGTACGCAAGATCAAGCCAATCCCGATTGAAGCCAACCGCAAAACACAACTTGAAAGCAATGTCAATGAAGAAGAGAGACTGGCACTCCGCGCCTTGGTGGGGAGCCTCCAATACGCAGCAATTAACACCAGACCAGATTTGTCAAGTAAACTTTCCCTACTACAATCATCAATCAACCGGGCTACTGTGGAAACTTTGATGGAAGGAAACCGGGTACTCCATGAAGCAAAGAAACACCATGATGTCACAATTCACTTAAAACCTATTCCACCGAAAAACTTCAGATTTCTTGCATTTTCCGACGCGTCATTCTCATCACCATCTAAACCAGACTCCCATGCCGGATCCATCATTGTAGGAACACATCAGGATATCAGCCAAAACATGCAGTGTCCCATCAGTCCATTAGCTTGGGGTTGTCGCAAAATTCAAAAGGTTGTAACCAGTACTTTGGCAGCTGAGACTATGGCCCTCTCAACGACGTTAGACCATTTATCTTGGTTACGATTGTTTTGGAGCTGGATACATGACCCTTTAACTGAATGGAAACAACCTGAAATGACACTTCAGAAGTTGGCCCCAGCCATCACCATTCCCACGAAACACCAGGATTCAGACGTAGCAATAACGGACTGCAAAAGCCTATATGACCTGATCACCAAGACAGCTCCACCACAATGTGCTGAGTTCAGAGTCCAACTCATGGCACGAGCGATCAAAGATTTCCTCAAAGAGGGCACCCATTTAAGGTGGGCTCCAAGCGGCGCTCAGCTAGCTGATGCACTCACCAAGTCTATGGATTCCCATTTCTTGAGAGAAACTTTGAAACTAGGCAGTTATAGGATATATGATGAACAATCGACTCTGAAAGCACGAGCCAAATCCAAAGATCGACTCAGATGGTTGAAGACGCCGCTAGAGCAATCAGTATCGCCAGATGCTGCATGAGGAGTTTGAATCTACAAAATTTTGGTTTTCACGAGTGTGATTTTCCACCATGCAGCGTCCTATATTGCCAATCCGCTTGCGAATCAGGAACCAGAGCCAAAGCCAGCATGTCGCCAGGCATTACGGCTCAGGGAGCTAGGAGAGGGTGGAAGCGGGCATTTCGCCTTGCAGCCATAGGGCACGGCAGTGACAGGGTCACCTTGGACCAACAACAGGACTTGCCAGTCCAATCGGAAGCAGCAGTACGGAACCTTTGCAGGATCCTTTTTGCGCAGGCCAAAACAAGAGACTGTTTCGCTGTGGGACTATCAGGTGTGGAGTGGGTGAGGTCACCCATCAATATCTGTGATTCCCATTTAGACGTGGTCATTGTTTTTGCAGAGGGAGCTCTACCAGTTACAATATATATATACATACATACATACCCATATATATATATACATACCAAGCACGAGAAGACTGTGGACTATGATCCTCCAAAATCTCTAATTTCCTGCTTTTCTCCCAGCGATCCTATTGATTGGTGGCTCCTTAGCCGTTGGGTGGGACCCCAGTTGCCACGGTCTCCTGGACCTCCAGGGCGCTCCAATTTTATGGGATGAACGTGGCTTTGTCACTGGGGTATACCGTATATACCCCCTAGAGGGCAATTCTGATGGGAAAAAATGGGATGAACACCTTCAAATTATGGACTATCCTAATTTTAGTCAGACCCACATGGCCAAAATTGTGGGCGCGTTTCAAAGCCCCCATATGGAAACGCCACCATTTCTAGATCATTTTTGCAGGGAAACCATGGTCTTTTCATATCTCATATCTATGTTAATTGTTAATTTTCCAGAGGTTATTGAAATGACCAACATTGTGGGCCGATTTTACTAACCCCCTTTGGACAGGCGTTTGGACAGGCGTACTGGACATTGCTGAGGTCAGAGGACAATTCGCCAATCTCACGGAGTCAAGTTTCGGGTATGAGACCTCGATCCTCAGAAGAGAGGACAGCGGGATTGGGGGTTTGGGGTCTCCATCATCCGCCAATGATGACCTACGATGACCTGATGACCCTAGAGGGAATCATAGGGAATCATCTGAATCATATCCAAAACTTTGCTTGCAGGTTTGTGAAACATACACAAGAGTTTAGTTTTGCCAGATATTTGGCGGCATGCTCGAGTTGGAACCAGACATAGGTTGCACTCTTCTGGCAGTTGTCCCAACAAGGACAGAAAAGTATGAAAAAGGAATGCCTGAATTTCTCATGGTGATATAGGGTAAACGTTTGCATGGATGTGGAAAACCCATGGTTTGCTTGGGAAACTGTTGATCTACAAATGGTTGAGAAATCCCACTGCCAGGATGCCGCCAGACTTCTCTGCGCAGCCATTAGTGCGACCCTACACTGCGCATGCCAAGAGGGGAGACCGGGGAGATGGAGCAACAGGCCTCGGGCATGGCGGCTGGAAGTTAAGGGTAGCTGAATGGACATTACAAGGAGCCCTAAAAAGATAGAAACATGTGTTTCCAGGAAGTTATAGATGATATTTGCCAACCATATTCCATCATATTTCCCGGTGTCCCGCTTTTCTGTCCATGTTGGGGTTGGCCCCTGATGACTTGACGACCGAAGATGGGGCTGACCGGCATGGGCAATACGAATAACAAATAGGTCGCCCCAAAAATCAGCGTCTTACTGGCAATATGGGACATTGTTATGGAATAATTATATATATAATAATATATATATATATTTAATAACGGGATTATAATTCTCCACTTTTTCATGGTACGTCAGCGAATTTTGATGGTGAAGTGTCTTCATCCTGCACATCCTCAATCATCCTCACAGGTCAGCCACGGAATAGCTGAACGTTTTAGCCTCATAAACTTTCGTAAACCCTCCGATTCACCAGAAGGCTTGATCCATCACATCTTGATTTTCATCTTTGCTGGGAGCTTGTTTATCTTGTTTTCCACCACACGGGACCCCAGGTCAATGAATCAGCTCCATCTCGGGAGAAAAAAAACAGCGCACTAGGCTTTAATCTATCAGGATCAATAGTTATCCCAGGCGTAACTAGCAACCAGCTGACCTCATGGGCGCGCCTCCCAGTAGCCCATCATTACTGCTGACTCCCCCCTTTCTAAAATGTTAAGCCCCTATCTCTTTGCTGCTCAACGTTGCTGCTCATTACACATATTCACGGACTTTTTCAGAATTACCTCACCCTGAAGATTTTTGCTCGGTAACAAACACACACACACACACACATATATATATATGTAATGTATATATATATTTGCATGATACCATACACATCCATACACCATCTCCTAGCAAGGGTCCATCATTCTTGATACTTGGATATATCATGATATATCATCATTTCTCATTTCTACTAGAGTTGAGTCGTTGACTCTCCATCTGTTCACACCTCGGCCATAATTTTCTCTGAGTTTCAGATGGAGCAACGAAAAGATCCCGTGGTTTTCCGTCAATTTCAACAAGACGGTAACCTCCAGTTATAAGTTGGCCTATGAACCCATTAACCGATATCAAATGTAGATACACGTACCTACCAATACCTTCCATAAATCCCATTTAGCGAAGTACCTCTCGTTTGGTGGCTCCTTCCTGTGAATAAACAACTGGAGGTGCTGGAGTTTAAACAACATCAGCCCACAATTTACGGTACCCGATGGCGAACAACATGGCTATGGAAAATCATGGAAAATCCATCATCTGTATAGTTCATTTCCGCGGGAAACTTATGGATTTTCATAGATTTTCCATATGTTCGCTGATCCAATGAAATCCCCATTTGTTGATAGCCGCATATAGCCGCTAGATGGGTGAAATCAGCAGTTTTACCCAGTTTTTCTCCAACTTTTTCCAGGACCCTAAAACAGAGGTACCGTACCATTTAAGGCCATATTTTGTGGGGATATTCCCTTACATAGCCCATGTTTTAGCCCTAAAACATAGGCCTTATATCTGGTAAATACCTCCAATAAATCGATTCCTGAAATGGTCGATTATGGCCGATTATTATATATCCCCATTATATTTTCATCATTATCCCTATGATATGAGTAACCGACAAAATTAGCGAACGACTAAAGTAGTGGTGCGTGGACTTGGGATGTTCAAATTTTTGTGAAAACCTTCGCAACCGATAGGGGACCATCCACTTACCGATACCCTATTTTTACACATAGCAGATGGAAGTACAAACCTTCACAACCGATAGGGGACCACCCACTTTGGCCATGTCCATTGCGAATAGTAAGTAATTTTGTCCACCACTCATATATGCCCCTTTATGTCTCCCTTATAGCCCAGGTTCATACCCATTCTTTTCCATGAAATCCATCCATTTCTTAGCCACTAACTAGTCAATCAGTGGCTGAGACCACCATATTTTTTTTCCGTATGTTTTCCATATATTGTTTCCTCTATGTTTTTTCCCGGAATGCTTACGGCTTTTTTTTAGATTTTTCAGAAATGTTTTTTCCATCCATATCATCCCATTTCCTCCTTTTCCTCCATTTCCAGGTGTGAATCTCTTGATGGCGCTGAAACTCCCGGGCCAAGTCTACGACGAGGGCAACTTCTTTCCCAAGGAGGACTCCACAGACTCGGAGGACCACGACCTGCCGCCCTGGGACGCAGAGCTGACCAAGAGACCCAAGCGCGTGGCGAGACGAAATGGGGGAACATTTTGGGTTATTCCAAGTAGAATATATGATATGGAATATTTATTGTATAGAATTTCTACAGTATATATATATATATACATAAATATAAATAAATAAATTAATATATATATATACATACGTAATATAATATATGATATATGATATGGAATATAGAATATATTATAATACCCTGGGGTAAATTAACGTAGACGTGGAAAACCCATGGTTTTCCTAGGAAAGTGGTCTACACATGATGGGTTTTCCAAATCTATGTTAGTTTACGGGAGATCAAAAAGGTGACTTATGATTCTATGGTACAATACATATGGCTAGGGATCAATACCTTTAGAGACCTTTTTTAGGGGAATGAACGCCCATCTACCAGCTATCTTGATGTAAGGGTACAAGGTTTTGACCCCATACCCATAGCTGGATTCTTTTAGGGCTACCGAGGCTGTGGCTGTGATGGACATGAAAGAACGGATGCGTCAAATGTTCAAGAGCCCGCAGGCAGCGAAGGGTTTCATCAGATGGCAAGTCGGTGAATACGGGAAGTCGGATGGCTATGGACCAAGGTCCCTGTAAATCGCACCTTATCTTGAGCATATCTTGAGCCAAGATACCATCTACATATAGAATCATATACATATGACATAGTATTACGTATATAATTGTACATGGTACATGTTTTTTTTTGCTGAAAAGACATGGCGCTTGAAACACGTCGGTTTTGATGCGAAAACGCTCCAGTCGTTGTGAAGAGTCAGACGGTTGGATCTGATGCGCAGGTCAAGAGCGAACACGAATACAAACAAGAGGGCTGGTGCAGCACCTTGGATGATTTGATAGGAAATCCACGAATGAATTGATAAATTGATATGGATATATGATGATATATGATAATACACGTAGGAATATGATGTTGTATGATATGTGCAATCGATCAACCTATCCATCAATCCTACCTATCCAATCCAATGCTATCCTATACCTGAATTTGCTATGCTGTGCTATGCAATACTATCCTGTCATGTCCTGTTCTGTCCTGACCAATCGATCTGAATCTATATGATATCGTTACAATACGTTATTATTCTTGCCACAAGTATCATTATAACTAGTTCACTGATTTATCCTTAATTTATCCTTAACTTATATATTCTAATTGCCATGATATTTATGGTTAAATAAACAGTATGTACATGTACTATATTATAGTAATTTCATAAACCAACCATTGGTTTATAAAACAAAAATAACTTAGACCCAGTTGGTTTATCATTTGATAGACATCTTTGATAAACCAACTTGAATAACTTAAATAGCATGCTATGTCTTATGTAATGAGTTCTTAAAAATCAACCCCCCAAGGCCCCAAGGCCCAACTGCCGAAGTTCATCCTCAGGTCGAATCGCCAGTCATCCCAACTTCGTTACTGGGCCTTGATGGACGTTCAAACAACGGTTTGACGTAGGTTTCTTTGAGAAACACTAGGTCTTTAGAGGTGAACTGACCTGAGAATTTGATGGGTACAGGTTGATTCGCATGGCGGCATGCCGATTTCAAGTTGGAATGGCTGATGATTTTTTGTGCCTTTTTCTGCCGGATGGACTTCGATGTGCATCCCACTTGGGAAATAGTTGATTATAGCCAATTATAGTCATTTTTTTTCTCGAACATATATGAACATCTAGCCCATGCATGGCGATATTCCAAATATAACTGGCTTGTTAGATGCTAAAAATTATACCCTCTGGTTATTTAAGATAGCCATGGTATAGATGGCCCATAGAAATAGATGGTTTACCGTTCTTAAAAATGGGTGGATTTTCCATGGCAAACTGTGAATGTCATAACCAGATGGTACACTAAATCGATGAAACGAACGGCGTTTCATGAGACGCTAAGGTCAAGTTTCTGTACATCATATTGGGATATATTGGGTAGGTGAAGTAGGTCAACATAAATCCTTAAATGGATCATCAACCGACCATCATTTAGATATTTATCAGTCATTTTCATTTAGATGTCATTTTGATGTCGATTTTCTCAGGAAACCGTGGTCTATGGTTTCATCATTGCCAACGTCGTTTGGCTTGGCATTGACGCGGTGGTGAACCAGGAGGACTCGGTACATGACTCGACTCCGACATGGCTTAGGGACGGCCATGTGTCAAAGTCATCCTCCCAATAGTCATTGTAATAGGGATAATATATGGGATAAGGTTCCATATAATGGTGGTTAATAGTGATTAATACAAGGGATTCATAGTGATTAATGGTGATTAATAGTGACTAATACTAGAGATTAATAGTGATTAATGGTGATGAATAAAGATTAATGGTGATGAATAGTGATTAATGGTGGTTGATAGTGATTAATGGTGGTTAATAGTGATTAATGCTTATTAATAGTGATTAATGGTTGTTAATAGTGATTAATGGTGATTAATAGTGATTAATGGTGATTAATAGTGATTAATGGTGATTAATAGTGATATAATGTGGATAAAACAATCATGAACCACCCATGACTGGGAATGGTAAACATACCACCTATAAAAATGGTGTTTTGGGGGATGGTTTATTATTGTTTTACCCACATGATTGTAATTTAATGATACAGTATCATTGATAGATTAAATGGAATTTACAATTCCATCAATCCATTTTGATAATGAGACCATGGTCAATATGGATTTATGGATACCCAATGGATTATGAATCCATCATCAAGCAACTTGAGAAGATTCTTCAGAAAACTGAATGACTGTGAATGACACACCGAACGGTTGGAAACAATACTTTTAACACAGTGATTGATGATCGTTTTGGCAAATGAACTTGCGATTTTCTTCTAAACCTCTGCCCTCAATTAATTGTATGATCTCTGAAGTTAATAAAGGGCCAGCAACTGGCTGTGCCCTTCCAACCTGGGTAAGCGGACTACTGTTAGTTCAGTACCACATAGTACAACTTATATACAGTATATATATATAACAATAAATGCTATAAACGGGAGATAAGATGTGCCCCTCGAATAGCTGGTGCTATGGGAATACATAAGGTACCCTCCGGTAGTCAAACTGAATGGAGGTTTTGATTTGACTGGGAAAATCATCGAACTCGATGGTGGCTTTCCAGCGGCCCGCCAAGTTTGATGACACCGGAGGTTGTTTTTTTTTCTTTGGTGAACATCCAAAAAATGAACAGAATGGAGTCCCTCGGATAGCTATAATATGTTATAAGTTAACGTGGCAACCTACTCTCCTGTAACCTACTATGAGATGGTAATAAGATGTAATAAGTTATATTATATGATATGTGAAGCTACTCTCCTGTAATCCAACGTGGAAGCAGCTGGAAAATCCTATGGCTCGTTGGGATTGAAGGATTTGTTGATCAACGCAGAAGCCTGGGTCATTGCGCACCTCGGGCCGATGAATGGTGGAATTTTTGCCTGCCTTTTTCGGGACTGCTGATGGACCATGTCTTCACCAAAATGTGAATGTATCTACTGTACAGTAATTTATAATATATATATATATACACATATGTATTACCTGCTCATAGAATTACGTGTAACTGTATATATGTATATATGTGTGTATATATATATATATGCACCACCAATATATGGTTATGTATTTGTATAGATATAAGTGCTGATTTACAGCTCCCTCCTTGGATTGGAGGCCGAGCGTGGCCTCAATCTTGCAGGATCAAGGATGTGCACGTTCGTCTTCATGATGCATGTTCAGATGCATACTTATGCAATATAATGCAATATATATATATACATACATAATACAATACAAATACGATACGATACGATACGATATGATTTGATATTATATCTATATATATATGATGTATATATATATATCTGATATAATATGGTATACAAGGCGTTGTACAAACGTGTTCTTTGTGATTCAACCAGCAAGACTTGTGACCAAGACTGGGTACAGACGCTGCTTTGGGCTAAATGTGTAATAACATGTGGGTAAATGTCCAGTACATGTCTTGCACATGGGTTGGTCTGAAAATGGAACAGCTAAACACCTAGTAGTCTATCACCAGTTTCGCTGGTAAAGTTGCAAGAATTTTGGGGTCCCATCCCCATTCCCAGACACCATGGGTGATCTGAGGATTGAAAACGTCTTCTGCATCTTTTTCTTGGGTGAGCTGTCGGTCCGCTTGGGTGTTGCACTCAGTCAAAGTGTGGCGGGACTGCTGTATTGATTGTGCCGGTTTGTGCCCGGAAATGTTGTCATGTCATGTCGTAAACTGTATTTATATATATACCCGTACCCACAAAAAATGGTGCAAACCCAATTATGAATTCATTTGTTGGGCCCTGCTTTCAATACCACCAAAAAGGTCAATTTACAAATTGGGGTGAATTGGAGATGGCTTACTAGTGTGTTTGCCACACTACACCATTTGATTATATTTGATTTGCCCTGGTGATTGCGCTTGGCAATGGCAAATCAGCCATTGTTGTCGATTCTGATCCAAGGTTATTTCCTTGAAAAGCTATGATTTTCCAGCCATGCTAAACTTCAAGAATTGGATGACGGCACTGTTTCTACAGCAAATCCCCATCGTTGGCGGTAAAAATTTCCGTAGCTTCCAAGACTTCTGTTCAACCCATACCCAGAGGGTGGCGTTGTGAGGTGCCTACCAGTCATTGATTGGTGCTGTGAAGGACTGGGTACACACGGATTTGCTGCATCTTTTCTTAATGGGAAAACACTGAGAATATTTTAGAGGAACTGGGGATAAACCCATGGTTTCTACCCTAAACCAGTGACAGATAGATTCGTTTACGACACACATATGGCGAATTTCCGGAGAATTGAAATTTCAAAGTGATTCATCACAAACAACTGGACTGAAGCAACCCGGTCACCGTAGGCTTAAATAATCTATGTTATGTAGATTGACTTGGACAAAATATTTGGGATTTACCCTCTGCTAATAACACCAAACGTGGCCAGCTAAAATCCTAGCCATGGAGCGTTGCCGGGAAGATCATATCTAGTTGGTGGTTTGGAATATTTTTTATTTTTCCATATATTGGGAATTTCATCATCCCAACTGACTTTCATATTTTTCAGAGGGGTAGGTCAACCACCAACCAGATATTCCAAGAAAGGAAATTTTCCAGCCACCGGTGCCACGCCATCCGTAGCCACGGAACTTCGGTCGGTTCTCAGACGCAGGATCCGTGGATCGTGGTGGACTCGCTGTTGGTGCTGGGAATGATCCTTGAGACCTGGATCTTTTTCCTGTGCCTCGGTGAATTTTCGCGTTTAAAACGGGGGGGCGGGGTTTTCTTGGGGTCAGCTTAAATGGTTCTTATATGGGTATGGATCAATACCTATTAATACCATTTTTAAGGGGATGAACGTCCATAAATCCCAGCTATTTTGGGGTTCACTAGGTACCAGGGTTTTGACTCATAGCCATATGCTTAGGGCTTTTATATGAGATAGTAGTGGTGAATCAATGGCTGAAAATATGGCTACTAACGGCTATTGATAATTGGTGGAGACTGGAACATGAATTTTATGACTTTCCATTCAGTTGGGAATTTCATCATCCCAACTGACGAAGTCCATCATTTTTCAGACGGGTAGGTATACAACCAGAGAATGGTTGATGTTGGATGGTTCCAGAGTCTCCATAAAGAGGCCATCCTCCACTGAAGAATCCCGCCACTGAGAATACTTTGAAAGTCACCAAAAACAGCAGGAACCGGCATTTTTTCCAGCGCGATTCCAGAAAATGAAGCGTCATCCATCAGTATCAATAGGGTTTTAGTGTATGCTCACGATTCATTTTCATCTTAAATCTACCGTGGTTACTGGTTTCAGTCATGTCGTAATGTCATTGCCCTAGCTACAAGGTGGTAAATGATTTCCAGATTTCTTTTCATTAAATATCCCATGATTAACAATGTTATTCATCATTAATTAACCATAACTTCACCACGAATTAACCGTTATTGTGTAACCATTTATATATGGTAACCGTTATTAACCATGTTTCCTCAACTGGGCACCTACTGTATCACTTGCCCAGGATCCTTCAATTTGCCGAAGTGGACATCAGCTTGATCGATCAGTCCAGCTTGCGATTGCTCAGGCCAAGGGTCGACTTCAACTGGGACATTTCACCAAAAAATGATGTTTTTTTTCATGGTTTTTCCTCATCAAACTCCACAAAACTCTTAAATTCCCAGAAGGTAAGTTTTTTTGGGAGAGATTCTTGAAGTGAAAGATGTTTTGCTCCATATCATGGAACATGGTTATATACACCCAAGAATATCACGGACTCAATTTGCCGGAACTTGTTCGCAAGCAGGCCATGTCAAGAATCGTCCAAGACAATCCAATACACTGGTTTCCTCTAAGATTTCTTCCTTGATCAACCAGTTTTTCACTCCGGTACATGGTAAACTCCGGTAAACTTACCATCTGGTTATTTAACATAGCCACGGAAAATCCACCCATTTTTAATAGGTAAACCATCTATTTCAATGGGCCATCTATACCATGGCTATGTTAAATAACCAGATGGTAAATCCCATTAGATCCCATAAAATCCCATAAAATCCCATTAAACCACCATAAAATCCCATATTCCTATGGTTTTCCAAAGGGATCACTGGGCGGGCTGCCTGTCGTCCCAAACATCATCCCATTTCGCCCAGGGTGCTGCGGGTCTCCAGAGTCGCTCGCATTGTGCGGATTCTGCGGGCGCTGCCGGAGCTGTTGATTCTGGTGAAGGCTGGAGCCGTTTTCGCCACTGGTGGGCTACAAGGTGGAGCCCCCGGAAGAAAATTGGAATATCTATGGTTAATCTATGGTTAATAATTGGAATAACAATATATCTGGTTGGTGGTGACTGGAACCATGGAATTTTTATGACTTTGTGAGTCCGCTAACTTTTTTGTAGATGTATAACTATAGTTCATGGGGAAAATTTCCCTGTCCTATGAGTCCATATGAGTCCTATGTATATCTGGGGAGGGGGGTCACCTTGTACCTTGATGTGCATCCTGCAAGGTCCTTTTTTGTTGTGGGCAGCCATCAATGGGGATGAAATGATCAAAAGATGGGATATGATGGGTATACAACCACTAAGACTAGTTGGTGGTGCCATTTCTTTTTGGTTTCAAACATAGACATGGGATAAAAAATCCCCAATGGCGAGCATATACTGGGCATATCCGCAGTCTATTCAACAAAACAATGGGTTGCAAATGAACCAAGCATAATTTGGACATACCTCAAGTAGGAGTTCAGATGAATTTGAAGCAAGACTCTTGTGGGATTTCAGCGAAAACACACAGGACTGGATTTGGACAGACAAAAAGTGGATGGATTTCAGCAACCAATTCAGCCAACTCATGGCCAATCCGTCTGGAAATACACCGTGTTGAAGAAAGCCAAAAAAAGGTGAAGGGCAAGTGAATTTGGAAATGTCTTGTCATTTTTTTAAAAGCATACTGTATGAATATATGTATAGTATATAGATACGAACAAACCAACTCAAACATGTTTCATTTTTCTTCTTTCAAGAGCATCTATCTATATGTATCTAAGATTAGCCACTACGAATTTGGTGGAGTACACCACCAAATGTTAAATTTACTGTCTACTATGCGGATATTACTGCGCTTGCTAATCAACAGCATGGGGATATCATGGGAGATGATGTATTCAATGCTTGGAACATTTTTAATGTATGTACAGTAGCACCTTCTGGACAGAGATGGGTCAACAGTTGAGGATTTTGCAGACCATCGTATTTGATCATTTGTGGAAAGAAATCCTGAACATGTGAAGTGTTGCTTGGTCCGTAATCCTAATTTTTGAAGGGTTTTTGATCGTTTCATCGTTACAAAATCACCTGAATCTCCAAATTGCATGATTTTATATGGAATCCCCTTCTTTCCCGTTTTTTTTCTGGTTTGAAGTGAACCCGAATTTTGATTAGACATTGACTAAATTGAATCCACTTCTTTGCAGCTTCTCCATGCTTCTCCCGTTGTCTTGGTTCACATGCCCTAAGTTTTGATGGTATCTGAATATCTCCAGCAGATGAATGACCACAAAAGTGATCAAAGTGATCGTTCCCAGCAGGCCTTGGGAGTGGCCACACGGTCAGTTTTCTTCACCTTTTGTGGCTTGGGCACTGATAAAATCAGTATCCAAAAGGTGGACATCTTGAAAACACAACTAGCTTCTCAAGAGATTTCTGCGGTTCTTTAACCACTATTTCGGACTAGTTAGCTATATAACTATACCAAAATGCTGAAGTTTATCACCTTCAAATTAGCAACTGGTCGGGAAACTTGAGAGACAGCTGTTTGATCTGGCAATTTTGAATCCCAAGAAAACCACGTATCAATGCGGATTTTCCAGTGCTTCGACTAGTGGAAGCTGAGCAGTTGGATGAACCAAACACCGTCTGACGGATGGGACCGGTCCGAATCCTGGGAAAAGATTGTGATTCTCCATGTCATGTCCCAAGTGCCCTGCGTAATATTCACAGAATTGGGTCTTTGACACCCCATTCAATAATGGTAACACCATCTTCTATTGGTACATTGGTATAGTATATATATATAGTATATATATATAGTATATATATAGTATATATATATATTTATAGTATATATATTTATAGTATATATATAGTATATATACTATATATATAGTATATATATAGTATATATATAGTATATATATAGTGTATATATATACTTATATATAGTATATATATAGTGTAGTGTATACATCCACAAGAACTTCAGTGATGAAGAGTTCAGGGTGGGCAAAAAAGCCCAGAAAACGCCACAGCTCCATCCGAGGTTTGCTGTGTGGAGCCCCAGGGACCTTGGGGCGACGATCGAAACGCACGGCTGATGCTGGTATGAGGGTTTTGCTTGTGGATCCCTGAGAAATTTTCTAACTTCAATTTTGGGGACCTGATATGACCTGATATGACCTGATATGACCTGATATGAACTGATATGACCTGATAGTTGATCAATTTTGATCATGTTTAGTGAAAAAACCTGAACACATGACTCAGGATGCTGACCATCTACCTCTTTGCGCTGGCTTGTACGACCATTGGGAAGGCACGTGCCAGGTACAAGGTGAGGTTTTCTAGATAGCTAAGCTGGTGAACATAACTAGGTAACTAGGTTAAGTATTGGTTTGTGGATGTTTATGGTAGATCTATCGAACTAGTGAATGGGTTTATAAACCCGGTGGCTTCACCTTAGACCTTGAGCCCCAGGAGATACCACAATTATATGTATATATATTATATAATAGCCCAGTATATGAGCCCAACCCCATTGGTTCAACCAGATGATTTACCCCATGAATAATCCCATTGACTATTAAGCCCCATTCTCAAAGCTCATATTCATGCCATGAAGTGGCAGCTCAAGTTATCTATGGTATACGATTCGGGTATGGCTTAGAAGCATGCAAACCGGGCTCCATAGTTTGGATGGTTTCCAAGAGTGGCTTATCATGTTTCCGTTTTTTTGGTTGCCCCACTTTAGGTCGTCATGCCCATAGTATGGGTCAAATTGTTGATGCCCCCACAATTGCTCGGTTTTCTACTGTCTCCAGATCTTGGCTGGGATATCTAGAATTTTGAATGGGATGATAATATGGGCCTGGTTCGAAAATTCATTACTTACCCAGCCAATGGACAGTATAGTGCCATATATATATAACTAAAACAATCCTGCCATCTTTGGGGTCTATTGATATCCTCGTGAATTAACCCATACCATCTGACACCCAAACTTCTCGGTTTTTTTTCATGGAAAATGACTAGATTTCCCAGTGAACACCATGATTTCCAATGAAGCATGGGTACTTTCCCATACCATCTGCCAGGACACAACGTCTGGAATGGAGTTTTTCAGCACTTTGGGCACATCCATGCAAGGGCCCAAGGGGCCCAAGGGGGTGAAGTGTAGGCACTGCCATGGGTGCAAAGTGTGCTCAAGGATTTGGAGGAGTCAGCCTTTTAAGATGTTGAATGTTGTTGAGAATTTAGTTGCTATAACCTTGTCCAACGGACATGATTCAAAGTAGAAGTGACCCGACTGCCCATCGATTTGGATCCGATCAATGCAGAGGTAGATTGAAATCTTGCAACCTGCAACCCCTGGAAGTGTGACAGTTGGGAATCCAACCTCACTTGCTGTTGATCCATGTGTTTTCTCAGAGTCTGATTTCTCCATTGAAATTGGCGCCAATCGTGACCCCCCACACACATATATATATATACATATATATATACATATATATATACATATATATATATATACACTGTATATAGTAATTTCATTTTTGTTTGATGATTAAAACGTGTAAAGTGCCATTTTTTCATGGTTACTCTTCTCACTTTTCCTTGTGGTGATGGGTATATAACATTATATAACCTGGTAATTTTTGACTTGCCCATTTTTTCATCTCGAGAAAACGGTGACCCTCCAGTAAATTAACATAGACCCTGCCAGATAAGGGTTGGAAGATTCATTTCCACTAAAAACTGGTGATTTTCAGGGTCAAACATGAATATCATGGGATATTTTTAATATCATGATATTTTCCCATATATATATTATATATATATATCTTCCATAGATTTTCAGGGTCGATTCGTGAGTTTTCCAGAGGCTATCGTTTCGGAATGTCCGAAACGATGAAGGCCTCGGCTCGAGGTTCACCCTCTTCTTCCACGGCCTCTTTGGATTTGACCTGCCGCGGATTGCCACCATCATTTTCGTCCGCTGACCCAAGAGAGGGGACCGGGATCCATGGGTTGATTTACTGTACACTTAGACTATACATATACTGTATATATATATACAGTATATACACATGATATGTATTATATATTATATATTATATATTATATATTATGTATTATATATTATATATTATATATTATATGTTATATGTTATATGTTCTACGTTATATGTTATATATTATATGTTATATGTTCTACGTTATATGTTATATATTATATGTTATATGTTATATATTATATGTTATATGTTATATGTTATATATTATATGTTATATATTATATGTTATATATTATATGTTATATATTATATCCATCATTTATGGGGATTTGAACTATTTGAAGCATCAAACATCTGGGGATACACAAAAATATAACTCATAGGTGAATATTTTTCAGGAAGCAAAACTGGTGATTCAACGGATTCAAGCATCAAAATATGGGGTTCCATCATTCAAAATATGCTGATACTAGATTCTAGATAAATGATGGTTGGTTGATGATTTGTGCAGGGGTCATTTTTTATACTATCCTCTATATGCTAGGCAGAACATAATCCGTGAATCGGGAAACCTTATTGATCACCCAGTAGCATGGAACGACAAAGGGTGCTGACCACTGCTCAGTTGGACCAGTGGTTTTTTTTGTGGCCATCAAAGATGAGGATGTATAGCCATAAGCTTAAGAGCTGGTTAGTAAATTGGGTAACAAACAACCACAAGAAAGGCATATAGTGAGACATAGTGGGTGATATGCAAGACCAACACGATCCTCCTGAAGCGAAGATGATGAGAAACTCTGAAGGCGAGCGAATTCAATCGAGCTTGACGGGTTCAGAATACACTGGGAATCCCCTTACAGTAAGCAGATCTCGCGGGGATCTTCTTTGGAATGGCACCGGGGGGTGTTGGAAAAGGATTATTCACCTGCTTGCTCGAGAGACCAGTACCAAGGCTGACAACGTTGCCCTGTCCATCGTTTTCTGCGCATATTTGGTTTGTGCTCCCCTGACAGCCCGGCACCCAGCCTGATTTGACGAAACCAACCTTCGCCTCCTGAAGAATGCTCTGTTCCAAGCTTTGAGACATTATATAAAACTGCAATGTTTTTCCAGATCTTTTGAAACATTGCCATATTTAGACCTACCACAATATGTATGTAGAATATACATATACTGTATCATAATATGATTATTATAACAGATACAGATATAATCAATTATAAACAATATGTAGATATACATAGGTATACACATATGGTCATTCACATTACACATATTTTCCGAAAGAGTGCTTGAGATATCGAAAGATTCGCAGATGCTGAACCTCTTGGTGGCGGTGCTGGTGGAAGTTGTGGGAGTGTTGGCCATTGCTGAGCAAGAGATGGTGCAAAACCAGCTGCCTGGCGAAAATTTTTCCAAACGCGTCTCAGGCGTCTCAAAGGATAGAAAGTCGAGGATATGATGGGTATAGATGACTTATATGACTTGTATAACGACTAAAACTGCTTGGAGCTTTCAAAGTTGGGTCTTGCTGTGCAGGATATTATTTAAGTGCCCAAATGGGTGATCTTTTTCAGGATGGATTGCAACCGCATCAACCACCAATCAGATGGTCAACTATACTATACCCTCAGGTAATTTGCTGACATAGCTATTGAAAATGATGAAAGAATGGGCCAGTCGAAATAGTTGATTTACCCATTAATAGCATGGTGATTTTCCACAGTTCTGTTAGTTTACCAGAGGGTACTCGTACATTTCAAAAGTTGTTTTTCAATTCCAATCCTTTGGCAGCAACTCCTACAGGTATGAGTGGGACCAAATGCGGCTGGCCCTGGGTGAGCTCTCAGAAGATAACATCACGGTGGATCAGATTCTTGGTCAAGAATCCCTGCTGGTGAATGGTTGGTGAATGGCTGGGGTATATATATATATATGCATATATATATATATTATAATGTCGTTTTTTCCGCCTCAAACATGGATAGTTATGAATAGTTCATATCTCACTTTAATATCTCACTCAAACTTTTGGCGAAGGATAGCTATACCGGACCGAACATTTTTGAACCCTGAGCTGGATTCTTCGCATTTGCTGACTGCTGAAGGGACCTGGTGGACCCGGTGATCTGAGGTTTAAGAAGCTGTTGGACAAGAATCTTGGGTGAGCAACTGGGGGACTCCTTGGCGGACCCCAACCCTGGGACTTTGGTGAGATTTTAAGTTCAGTGTTCTTTGTGCACACAAATGAGAAATGTATGGAACTGGGTTTCAAGTTTCCAGATTCCATTTTCATCCATTTTCAATATTCAATCCCCTGATGAATTGCAAGTGACGAGAATTGATTGTTGTCCAGACCTTGGGTATGTCGCTACATCCATGAAGGCAGTGGGAGGCAAGACACATTTTTTACTTCACGACTCCTTGCCGATTGCTTAAGAGATGGTCAACTCCTTATTTTTCGGTTGTTTCAACACCTAAACTTCGAATCTTCTAGTTTCTCAACAGTTTAACTCCCGATTTTTTCAGTTTTTTGTTTTTTAAACTAGATAAAACATAATATAAAATATAACATCATATAGTATCATTTACTATTCTTTAATATCATATATAATCATGTATAATCATATAATATCATATAACATCATTTAATATCATATAATATCATATAGTATCAGTATCATATATTATCATATAGTATCACATAATATCATTTAATATCATATAATATCTTTTAATATTTTATAATATCATATAATATCTTTTAATATGATACAATATCATATTAATATCATATAATATCATATAATGTAATATAATATCATATTAATATCATATAATATCAAATAATATCATATTCATATCATATAATACCATATATTATCATGAAATATCATGTAATATCATATAATATCATTTAATATCAAATAATATCATATAAGATCAAATTAATGTCATATGATATCATATAGTATCTTATAGTATCATATAATATCATATAATATCATATAATGTCATATAAAATCCTTTGATATCATATAATATCATATAATATCATTGATTTATTAAAATTAATATCATACACTGTCATATAATATCATTTAGTATCATATAATATCATATAATATCATTTAATATCATATAATATCATCGAATATTATATAATATCATATAATATCAAACACATATCATATAATATCATATAATGTTATATATATATATTCAATATCATATAATATCTTATAATATCATACCATATAATATCATATAGTATCATATGGTATCATATAATATAATATAGTATCATATAATATAATTTAATATCCTATAATGTCGTATAATATCTTTTAATATCATATAATATCATTTAATATCATTTAATATCATATAATATCATTTAATATCATATAATATCAAATAATATTAATACCATATATATATATATATGACATCATATTAGTATCATATTAATATCATATAATATCATAGAATATCAATTTAATATCATACTAATTTCTTATTAATATCATATTAATATCATATTAATACCATATATATATGATGTCATATTATATAGTATCATATTATTATCATATAATATCATATAATATCATATCAATGATACTTTTCCAGTGAAAACCCCCTCCCGGTTTTCCCTTCTCGCCGAGGCGTGAGGCTTTGATCGCCATGCGTGCCCTGGGGATCGACGTCATCGCCATGCTGGAAACGCCGCAGCTGATCTTTGGAGAGCCGCTGGAGCTGAGATCACCAGCCGATGGTGTTTTTGATTCATGAAGAAATGATAAATATCAATAGTATATGGATGTATATGGAATATATATGGGAAAATCTATGGAATATATAATTATATATGGGAAAATATCATGATGATATCCCATGATATTCATGTTTGACCCTGAAAATAAGCCATTTTTAGTGGAAACGGATCTTCCAACGCCTATCAGCCGAGGCGTTTTCGATGTTTAGATGAGGATAATCCATGGGAATATCATGGGAACGTTGTCTACAGCAAGACCCAACATCGATGGAAAAGTAGGAATCATGTTTTTTTCTTTTAATTGAGGATATCATGGGGATATTGTATGGTAAATATGACGTCATGGATGGGGATATATTTTATCATATATATTGAGAGCTGATCATCATATCTATCATTAGATTTTCTCAAAAAGATCATGGTTTTCCTTTTTTTAGATGAGGATTTCATGGGGATAGTGTATATTCATGTATATTCAACATGATGATATGAATATATATATATATATTAAATGTCATGGAGATATATGGCATATTTGGGATATCATAAACTTCAGATTTTGTAACCACCAAATAATATGTTTAATATGATGATTACAATATGTCTATGTATGGGTATATCTATAATTGAATGCAACCAACGGTGTGATTTCAGAAAATGGAATGTGAAACCAACAAACATGGTGGGATTCCATAAGGATTATCACATGGTATATATACATATTATACGTATATTTTTATCATGTTATATTATAATATACTATATACTATATTATATTACATTATATCATATCATATTATATTATAGTATATTATATTATATTATATAAGAATGTAACCCTACTAGAATACTGGTACATTACTTTTGACTCTTTTTGGGGGTCACTCTAGGGCATCCATGTTCCCTATATTAGATGGGGAGGCGAGGAGCCACTAAAAGTTTCCCAACCGCATGATAGAGTATATATGTAATATAGATAGACTGGTTGGTGGTTTGGAACATTTTTTTATTTTTCCATATATTGGGAATTTCATCATCCCTACTGACGAAGTCATATTTTTCAGAGGGGTAGGTATACCACCAAGCAGTAGAAAGATGGATAGTTGGAGAATTGGTGCTTGATAATTGACACCAAGTCTACGTATTAATTGCGTTTAAATGGCATTAATAGCGTCTAATGCGTCACTAATTGCGTATAAATATACTAGTTACGTTTAATGGTGACTACAAAGTGCGTATAAACACTTGCTAGATTAAACTATATCTTCGAGGTTACTGGAGGTTACGGGATACTCAGATTCTAGAAATTCTAGACTCAGATTCTAGCTTGGTTACGGGAGGTTACGCGATACTCAGATTCTAGAGATTCTAGACTCAGATTGTTACGGGAGGTTACGGGAGGTTACGGGATACTCAGATTCTAGAGATTCTAGACTCAGATTCTGGCTTGGTTACGGGAGGTTACGGGAGGTTACGGGATACTCAGATTCTAGAGATTCTAGACACAGATTCTAGCTTGGTTACGGGAGGTTACGGGAGGTTACGGGAGGTTACGGGAGGTTACGGGAGGTTACGGGATACTCAGATTCTAGAGATTCTAGACTCAAATTCTAGCTTGGTTACGGGAGGTTACGGGAGGTTACGGGAGGTTACGGGATACTCAGATTCTAGAGATTCTAGACTCAGATTCTAGCTTGGTTACGGGAGGTTACGGGAGGTTCAGATTCGGGAGGTTACGGGATACTCAGATTCTAGAGATTCTAGACTCAGATTCTGCCTATAAGATCAAATACTACTAAATTTAGTAAAAAACTAAATTTAGTTTAAAATAGTGATTTAGTTATTTACTACGCTACTAAATTTAGTAAAAATCCAACTAAATCAAAAACTAAATTTAGTTGGCAACTAAATTTAGTAGCATTACTAAATGTACATTTAGTCGGGGAACTAAATTTTTCACTATGTTTTTTTCAATGCAAAATGAGTTATATTTCGATGTTTTTTTATGTATGTGGTTGATCAGTTTTCATGTACATTTTAATGTGTGTAGGCCTTGTGGCCTCACTGTTTCATAATTAGATACAAGGGAAATTGTTGTAACACACATACATACACACATACACACATACATACCTACCTACCTACCTACCTACCGACCTACCTACCTACCTACCTACCTACCTACGTACGTACGTACGTACGTACATACATACATACACACATACACACATACACACACATACACACACATACACACACATACACACACATACACACACATACACACACATACATACATGCATACATGCATGCATACATACATGCATACATGCATACATGCATACATGCATACATGCATACATGCATACATGCATACATGCATACAGACATACAGACATACAGACATACAGACATACAGACATACAGACATACAGACATACAGACATACAGACATACAGACATACAGACATACACACATACACACATACACACATACACACGTACACACGTACACACGTACACACATACACACATACACACATACACACATACACACATACACACATACACACATACACACATAAATTACACACACATACATTACACACACATACATTACACACACATACATTACACACACATACATTACATGCATGCATGCATACATACATACAAACATACATACATACATACATACATACAGACAGACAGAAAGACAGACAGACATACATACATACATACATTACACACATACATTACACACATACATTACACACACATACATTACACACATACATTACACACATACATTACACGCATACATTACACACATACATTACACATATACATACACACATACATACATACATGCATGCATGCATGCATGCATGCATACATACATACATACATTACATTACATTACATTACATTACATTACATACATACATACATACACACACACACGCATCATATATATATATATATAAATATATTTATTTATACCCTCTGATAATCAAACGCAATTCTGGAAAATGGCCGGCTTGTAAATGACTGACCTGTGATGTGAAAATGGGGATTTTCCATTGAGTCTCCAACGTCCCAGGACCAGTTCCCTCAGTTTTACCGACTTCATTGAGACCATTTTGGCCCTGCGGGATTCAAACACTGCCACGGTCTTTTGGCCCTGGATCTGTGCTGGCTTCGGCTCCTCCTGTGGTTTGCAATGTGGTAAATCCAATGATGAACCTCCAATCTGGGATAGTGTCTATACTACTGCCCATTGCCAGTTCCACTACAATTTAGGATGGTTTTTGGCTTTTGTTACTTTTGTTTCCCTGATTTATCCAGGTGAGGGTCTCTGCATTTTAACTAGCTTCCTAGCCAGCCGATCATCGCAGATAATTTGCAAGCAGGCGGACCCGCACTATGCCAGATAAATTGTCGGATAGAACGCCAAGTAAAATGCCAGAATATATGTCAGATAGAATGCCATATAGAATGTCAGAAGACATGTCAGAGAGAATGTCAAAGAGAATGCCAGATAAAATGCCAGATAGAATGTCAGAAGAAATGTCAGAGAGAATGCCAGATACAGTAGAATGTCAGATAAAATGTCCGAATATTTGTTTGAATTTGTATTAGATAGATTGTCAGTTGGTGGGTATCACCTAGAGAAAACATGTTTTTTTTGTTGAATCCGACCTTTGTACCTTTGTTACAGAGAACGGAAATACCCCCGGATCTATGTACTCAAAAATGACTGCAAAGATCAAATAGATTCAGTACACTCAACCAGGGATCATGTTTCAATTGCTGGTATCTGTATTTCAATATCAACTGGGGAAGGGGTTACTGCCGCGAGGTGCGTGACATCAACACATTGGCCAAGCGAATCATTTCGGAGATCCAGGGCACGGTTGGGCAATTGAATTCCAAGATCAAAGAAAAGCCGCTGGGACCGCTGAATTGATTCAGTTGGGGAGATGTCTTTTTCCTGGAGATGTGTTGCAGGATGCATCTGGAAGATAAAAAACGCAGATTCCAGATTCATGTCTAGATACTTTAGAGAGGCTTTGCGACGGGACTGGATTGTTGGATTCTCACTGAATGAAACACTTGCTTCATGAGCAGACAGGCTTTTACACAGTTTTGCTGCCCAAAGTTTGTGAAAATGGATGATCCAGGTAAATTTTTCCTTGTTTTTTTGGGTCTGGCCATGTCTCGCCGGATCTAAGAGATATGGTGCCCTGCTACATGCCTTCAGGAACCGACACTCCCACCCATAGCGGTAGCTGCGCATGGCTTCATCTTTTGATGTTCACAACATTCACATTCTTTTTACCCTCTGGTTATTTAGCATAGCCATGAAAAATGTCCCATTTATAGATGGTTTACCTATCAAAAATGGTGATTTTCCATGGCTATGTTAGTCATAACCAGATGGTAAAAGAAATCACTCGCTTTGGTGCAGGCTATCAATTCAAATCTACGACATTTATCTTTTTGTTTTTGGGCGGGCCGGACCGGCCCTTGAGGTAGTATGAAATACCAGTTTGTATATTTAAATGTAGTTACCGTACTTCAATCAGCCACATCCCACCCCATCGGGCGTCAGGGGGAGCAGCAAAGACCGGATCATGCGCGCGGAGAAGGTCACACTGAGCCGGCAAATTCGTGGCTCGTCGAAAGTGCCATGGGTGGATTTTGTTTTTTTTTGGAGATGGGGAAAGATGGATTTCAACTCATATTTTACTATATAACTCACTTTTGTATTCATATATTGAGTTTTTTTTTGTGGATTTTAAGTGGTCAAAATGGGAGATTTTCTCGTATTTTTCATGCCTTTAACTGATGTGGGGTTATCTCAAAGCCATCCGTCCGTTTGTAACCAGCAATAAAGTGGCTATTTCCGGGTCCTTAAAAATGGGAGATGGGCATGCATTTGAGTGTTTTTTTTTTGGTGAATATGGCCATTTGGCATTGTAGACGATGGGATTTGGAGGTTCCTTGTGTTCAGACAGATCCATTTCACTGCCATTTCTTGCTGGGCGTTCCTGGTGGAATACCACACATGGACACTATATATATATATACATATACATACATACATACATAATAGGGATATGATGAAAACCAGTGTATTTGAGTGGTAATTTGGTACCCCATTTTCAGACAAGGCCATGTGTACTGAGTTTTGTTCGTAATCACCTCCACAGCTCAGAAACCCTAGTGGAATGTAGTGAATTCATGTAGGGAGGAGACATGTGAGGGGTCAATTATGATGATTTCTTTTTGATGTGATGTTGTGGTGAACGCTCCAAACTCCAACCCCCAAACCAACCTTATGTTTGAACCGTTAGTTCTGCATGATACACTCCCCAAATCTAACATGTGCATGCTATTCCTGAGGTCCCCTAACATGAACCTATGGTACGGTCTCAAGTGGATTTTGTTCCCCAGGAAATCATGCAACTAACTTTTTAAATAAAATCACTCCAAAACTGACATGGAACCCAATGCAGGCCCAAACTGAACCCAAACTGCACCCTGAAACAGCCAACATGGAATTTGAACAAGTCATCACAAAGCGATCTGCAACCTTGAAGGGTGATTTGAAGTTTAACCTGGAACCCAAGAGGTTTTTAAGGTGTGGTTCTTGCAAATTCCATGTTAGTGACTTTCGAGCGACCATAATTTTTCACTTCGTATTTCGCTCACATTTAAAAACTATTCAGGTTCCAGGTCTGTGGTGGGGAAAGAACTGAAACCAAAACACCTCCAAGACAAGGTCGAGACTTATTTTTCAATCTGGGTTCCGTGTTCGTCGCACAACTTTCCAAAGTAAGCCGCAACAGGATCGATTTCTTGGGGAGATGCAGAACTTAGGGATTTCATCAGCAAAGATGTCGGGTTTGTCCAAACGTGGACATAGAATGACATAGATATATAGATAATTTTCCTTGTAAGCTACTATATCCATCTATATCCTAATATGTGAATCTATATGATATATCACTTCAATGGTGATTTTTCATGTCGGATTGAGAGAGGGTTAAGTCCTATCCCCATGAAGTCCCCATTTGTTGATGGTTAAACCGTTAAACCCCTTAAATCCCATTAAACCACGATTAAAATTAACAAATCAATTCCCGATGAAGTCACCATGAACAACAATTATATGACATATGACATATCACTAAACCCATTAATTCCCCTGTCCTCATGAACAACCTTTAATCAATATTAAAGCTTATATTAATTCATTCCCCATGAAGCCCCTTTCTGAACAACCTTGGGCAAAACACCCAACACAACACCCCTCAATTCCCCACCTCAATCCATCCAAACCCATTAAACCCCCATCTGCTTGGTGGTTTAGACCATTTTTTATGACTTTCCATATATTGGGAATTTCATGATCCCAACTGACGAAGTCTCATATTTTTCAGAGGGGTAGGTATACCACCAACCAACCATGAAATTCTCTTTTGTTGTTGGTTCAATCATCATTCTGCCAGCCTGTCCGCCCAGCCAAATCTGCTCGTGGCCGATGACTCCCTCCAAGAGGTTCCATGGTGGGCCCGTGGGTGTTGATCTAATGGAGCCATGAAAGTACCCACCGGTTGATTGGTTATGAAAGATGGATATAAAAATAGGGTTTTTAGATGTTTATAGCCATAAAGTGTCTGATATAAGATGTTTTTTGACATATTTAGATATATGTTACAGGTATCATGTAGAATGATTGTAGAATATTGTAGAATGATTTGTAAATGTAAACGTACATATGGGTGTGTCTGAATATTATATATACTCCCAAATGTGGCCATGTAAATTGGTGTTTTGATAGGGAACACGCCGGGGAACGTGGTGAGCCTGTCAATTTGGGGATGCATCCAATTTCAATGCCTCCCATTCCGATGCTGTAAGCTTCATGTGATTCTGTATCTCCAAAGCGTGAAACTGGGTCCCTTATCTTATTTGCCATGCAGTCACTATTTTGAACGCTGTTGCGCTGTCACATAACCCATATGGCGTATATATGTCTATATAATCTGATTTTGATGGATAGAACACTTATTTGTCAGAACGGTGATCACGTATTATTATCATTGATAGAATAATCATTCTGAGATATTCTGACTGTATTTTTTTATTATTGCTATTTCATGTTTATTTCTATTATCTATTGTTACTAACATTATTACTATTAGAATCATGAGTCTGACCAGAAGAGCATGATGATTATTGTCATTCTGATTCTCCTGCTTCCATGAAATCAAGCCACCGTCATCCGGTGGCAGCCCCGTTTTGGCCAGTTTTTGGAGGCCTGAAAGCAACGGCGACCGAGAGTTTCACCAACGTTAAAACTGCCGTATTTTGGGGTTTCACCGCTCTGAAGTTTTTTAAGCGGAGCTCAAGACAAGGAAAAGGGCACCCCTTGATGTGAGAAGTCGGCTCTCCGATTTTTGGGAGTGTATTCTCTGGTACCCCAACCTGTTTGGCTAGAACAAGACGAACTGCCTACGGAAAATGTGGAGTTCCAAGCCAACCGGCTTTGGCAGACAAGAAGGTTTAACCATGTTTAACCAATGAAACAACATTATCTGGTTGTCCTTCAGAGCGAAAAAAAAGTGATGCACGGGCCTCAGGTAACCTGAAGGCCAGCTGTGTGTCCAGAAATTGGGTGATATTTGGACATACGCAGAGATGGTATGAAGTGCGTGAGCAACACACGGCCAGCCCCGGTTGCGATATGCGGATGTTCAAGGATGTTCAAGGAATGCAGAGATATGAAGAGATGGGTTGATGTTACCAAGGAGTTCTTGAGGTGTTCGAACTGCTTGACATTAGCGCTTTGATGGACAGACCTTCTATGACCAACATATAGAATTCCCCAAAATACCCTCTGGTAATTTGTTACATAGCTATTGAAAATGACCATAGAAATAGTGGATTTTCCCATTAAACATGGTGATTTTCCATAGTTATGTAAACGTTTACCAGAGGGTAATGGGTTTGATTGAAAAACAACCTAGATCTGTTGGTCCAGAAAGGGTCCCCCCAAAAAAATCCTGCCGGGGGGCACGTGGCTCTACCTGGCTACAGCCAGCAGTGTAGTTATAGAATTCAGAAGCGCCACCTGGCTCAGGTGCTGCATGCTTGTTGGCCACATTTTTGCTAGAACCAAGTTACAAGGGCCTTGAAGCCTATGAACTTTGAACCCTTCATTTCCTTATAATGATCACACATAGATGATCTTTGGCGGGCATGACACAGTAGACTTATTAGACTGTAAGACTCGTAAGATGCTGTCTAGACTTTATTTAGGGTTATAAACTGTTATGAACTTGGAGTTTTCATGAGTTTTGAATTATAACCGTCCAATATGCCAGACCCTTTTTGATTTTTCGGGATTTTCCATGGCCAGGTTAGCCCAGGGTAACTTCAGTATTCCCCAGGTGATAGATGAGAGGACCGTATGCTATGACACTTTACCTACGTACCTAGATTTTTCTATTGGGTGGCCTTAAATAAGGGACGGTATATCCGTGCATGATCTGGGATTTGTTTCTCGCCGCATATTTCCAATGGTTTGCATTTCGACTGAACGGAACTTGAGCCAATCAGAGAAGCTCCTGAGGGCCGGTCGTTGGACCTCAAGGTCTTGACGAAGGCGAGAGCTGAGGATTTGCAAAGGGATTGCTGAAGTCTTTCAGGGCATCAACAAGCAGGTTTTCTCAAGATGATGTAGAAATCCATGTGGGACACGCAATTTTATCATATTTTATCAACCTACCATTTTGGGCATGGTTTTTTTTATGTTTTTTTTCGCATCCCAGCAATAAATGGTGATGACTTGGGGATGCCATTTTCATGGCATTGGGTTCACCATCGCCGGGGTGAGCTTTGTGTTTCTGTGAAGGGTTTCTTCCATTTACTTTCATGTAGGATAATGTTGGTAAAAAACTAGGTTTTTATATGCCACAAACGAATAGAAACGGATGCTACTGATGGTGGATTGGATGAACATCAATCCTCGAGATCCTGGCAGAGAGCAAAATGCTGCTGATGGCAGGGGAGTTCCTGGTGAGAGACTTTGGTTGTGCATAAGCCATTGCTGTTGGCTACCACATGGCCAATCATCCAATCATAGTCACTTTGATGTTTGCACATAATTAGGAAATATATTCCATTTCGCAAGGATTGCATCCGGCATATTTTTCATGAGATCCCCAGTTCAGTTGCTTACCGGTATGTCCGCGATCATCATGGGTGACATCTTCTTCCAACAGACTCAAAGATGTTTCCTTTGTATTTTACTTGGATGAAAATCCTGTTTAGACAGTGTTTCGGAATCATGGCTAGCAAGTCCCCGATGAAAGACCAATTGAACAATCATAGGCGGATTGTTATTCGGTTCTAAGTTATCATCCGGGATAAACATCGAACAGTTCATCAAACATTTATTGCAATCAACTATAATTAACTTATAAAATTGAACAAATACCATCAATTTTCTTAAATAGTCACACTCTCATGAACGTAAATAGTGCATGTTTTCGTCTTAATTGGTCGGTCTCAAAACCCTGAAATCGAGGTTCCTGCATCTCTCGCCCTGAGGAGTTTCAGGGAGAGCTCCTCCAGCCTTCGTGCCACCAAGGCGTCTCTGGCGTCAAAATTGGGAGAAGGGAAGTCCCAAAGATTGGGATCTGGGACATATCATGTCATATATTACATATATATCATATATATATATAAATGGTGATGGTGATCGATCTAAAGGTGCTTCTAAAGAGTTTGAAACTTCGATCACCGTTCATGTTATGTTGAAAACTGAAAACCCTCCGATGTATACATACATACATACAACATACACACATACACACATACACACATACACACACATACACACATACACATACACACACACATACACACACACATACACACACATATACACACATATACACACACATACACACACATACACACATATACACACATATACACACATATACACACATATACACACATATACACACATATACACACACATTCACACATACACACATACACACATACATACATACATACATACATACATACATACATACATACATACATACATACATACATACATACATACATTTTTTTGTACAACACAGAACGGGGTTTTAACACTTGTTAACAGTTTTGAGCGACCCAAATTGAGAAGTTGAGCTACTATATATATGATTGAGAAATTACTAACAAATGGGGTGTGAAACTTCCCAAGTTGGGGATTTAATGCCATTACATCATTGAGACACTACCAGCAAATGAGGTGTTAACCTACCCACAGCGGGGATTTATATCATGCCATTACGTGATTGAGAAACTACAAAGAATGGAAATCACCATTAGATGTAGATGATTGAACTGTTGCACATAGGATCAACCAGGGGTTTTCCAGCCATATTAGGTTAACGTTTTGCCAGATTTCAAATCTGAGACTTGGAACTTACAGGATTTACAAGTCGAGTGGGGAAACACCACATCAGTATGTACAGTGTAGAGTGTGCAAATCTCTGTAGGTACTCATACCATGACATAAATGTTTACATAACCCACATGCTCCATGGAACAGTGATCTACATTTGGTGTCGCAATTGAGGACCACCCCGGAGACTGGGCCCTGCACAATAGATCCAATACTATACCAATCTAAAGCAGGTTTTCTAAGGGGGTATTTGATATGAGGCTGAAGGGATTCCAAGAAACCGGTGTTTTTATCCTAAAAAATGGATTGTTCTTGTCTATGAGCTTTGCTTAGAGCAAGCCTGGGATATCTGTCCAGTTTGATTGAAATTTAATCGATTTGCAGATGAGATTTGATTCATACCTATGACCAGATGATACATGTATATGTATGTATATATATATACTATGTATATATCTATACTATGTATATATATATATATATGTATACATATGTATATACATATGTAATATATGTATATATATATGTATGTAATGTATCTATATATATGTATATATATATATACATTACATATATGTATATATATATATGTATATAGTGATAGTTCCTACATGTACATGTAGATATCAACATCAGATGACATGACTGAACGCGGTAGATCAACATTCTTCCCAAGAAGCGCTGGTCCATTTCGGGGCCAGCCAGGTTTTCAATGGGAATTCCAGGATCCTAAAATGGAGGTACTGTACCATATTTTTGGCCATATATTGGCAGTATATCCCCTGAAATTCAGCCCTAAGAAATAGGCCTAAAAATATGATACCCTCTGGTGAACTAACATAGCAATGGAAAATGGCCATTTATAGTGGATTTTCCCATGAAAAATGGTGATTTTCCATTGCTATGTTAGTTCAATCGGTTCCTGAAATGGCCATTGAGCCAGGTTTTCTTGGACCAGCTGGACGAGCTCTTTGGGTGCTGCGAACCAGAGCAGCGAAGAAAAACGAACCGACGGATGGTCGGTTGGGTCCTGTGAAACATGAAAAGAACATCTTTTTGGGGGCCACTGGA